TGAGATAGTTGATATTTTAAGAAAACAAAATTATATCACCATGACCCAATAAAAAATGGCATTACTTATACATACATTGAAGAATTGATTTTTTCAAAATTAATTTTAGACTTAAATATATTTTTAATCTTTATAATTTAGTTTTTTTAATCCTTATTTTTGTTTTTTTTATATTTTAATCTCCACAAATTTCAACAAGTTTTTTTCTTTCTTCTATATCATCAATTTTTTATATTAAAAAGTGATATAATAAATGAAATTGATAATGTCACCATGCATGCCATGTTATTGCCAAATGATGACACCACTAAGTCGTATAAGTAAGAATGTCTCGTTTTTTTTTTTTTTCTGTCAAAATTTAATTTATAATATTTTAATTTTTAAAATGAGATAACATTTTATAAGTGATTAAATAATGATACATCCAAACACTCTAAAATTGTACAAGTGTTTGTTAACATATATATTCAAATGCAACTAATTATTGAATTTTACGCACTTATAACATAAACTTTTATTATATAAGAGTTTATTAAATTATATCTTAAATAAGTTGTTTGCATAAGCAAGTCCTAAAATCAAAATTGTTCCGGTCAAAGGATAATGGTCAAAAAAACCCTAGTGATATGAGTTCTAAGAGAACCTAGCCGTCGTCCTAACCTAGAACATTTGATGAGTGTAACCTACTATTAGTAAAATCATTCTTCCTTTATATATATGGGTGTCATATTTAAGGATACGAATCTTTTTCTCCAATCTCAATCCCTTGAAATAAGTCTTCATTTTATTTCTCATAATGAGCCTATAAATCACATTTATAATCGTAATCAAATATGTGCGAGAATCATGGAAATTACTGCCTTAATCAGTCTTAGAAAATCCGTGAGTGATCTTGAATTCGACTTGCTCGGTCAGATGGGGAGTTGGAAGATACGTGACCCTCCATGCTTAACTGTTAAAAGTGCAAAGAGTCTTTACTTGGTCAATTCGGTCAATTGGGGATTTGGAGGCTACACAGCCCTCCAGGCTCGAGCGTCAAGGGCGCGAAGAGTCTCGAGTTGGCCAGTTTAATCGGTTGGAGAGTCGGACGGTACAAAAATAAAAATAACTTACAAGAATTAAAACAAACAAAAAATGATTTGTATTTTTTTCTATGCATGTATAGTTTATATGTTATCCAAATCTGATAATTAAAGAATAATATGTGCTCGGAAAACATGACTTCCATTGGTCACACAACAAAAATATATAAATAAAAACAAAATACAATCTCTCTTCCTTTTTGGCTTTAAACTTTTTCTTCTCTCTTCTTCCTCTTCTTTTCTCTTGTAAGCTACCCCTTTCCTTCCAAATGTGTTTGTGAAAAAATATTTAACTAAAGTTGTCAAAATGGGTTTCAACCTTAATGTAGTTAAGGTCTCGAGAGACTAGTTCCAAGCGAAATCGAAAAATACTCCTATCAATACCATCGTACAAAAAAAAGTGGATTCTAGCCCATGGTCATCCTAGTCCACCTTTAAAATTGGTTGAGTTGAGCCAAAAAAAAAGAAGAAGCAAGAAATTCACTATTGGTTAGAATTAAACTCAACCTAACTCACTTTTGACTCAACCCATCTAATAGAGCTCATGATAGGTCAAACTATCCAGCCAGTCTTAACCGATGATGGGTTAGACTGACCATCTAACCCACTTACAGTACCCTCCTCCTCCTTTCACATGTTGTTTGCCAATCCACCAATGACCCATCATCTCATCACTCTTGATTCTCTCTCTCATTCTCGACTCACTCTTCTCTTCTTAGCTCTCATTTTTTCACTTCTTCATCTTTGTCAATCACTTTAATAACATGAATTTTTTGTTTGTTTTTATTTTGATTATTTAAAGTTATATATTTTTAATTAATTTTAATGTTATATGTATGATATTTAGTTTAATAAATTATATTTTAAATTATATTTATAAAAAAACTAAATGAGTCAATAGACTGATCCATTTAACTCTCTAACCTATAATGAATCGAATCAAACCACTCAAAAAATGAGTTGAGGTAACCATTTTGATAGTCGTACACTCAACCTTATCTTTCTTCAACTTGCTTTCCTCCACCTTCCATCACCTCACACACACATTGTTCTCTAGTTTTTTCCTTCCTCATTCCCTCCCTATTGTTTTGCAGTTCTAGTTGATTGTCGTTATAGAATTGTTATTAAATCTCATTTTCCTCAAATGATAATCTATATTATAGCCGGTATCCATCTAAACATAAGACCCTTCAATATATAACATACAATTCACTTAAACTTAATTCACTTCTCTTCAAAATTAATTTTGTAAATTTATTTTTGTAAGTGTTCACTCGAACCCAGTAAAAAATTAGAAATGCACGTCTTGAGTCATGATTAATGCTGCCACTGCTTTGTACAATCCTAAAGTTGGTATACACCGTTAATCATTTCATACTCATTCAACCAACACTGATTGATATAAAAGTGTTTACGGTGGATTTCGTTTTATGGATCCTTTTTATTCGAACTAGCACGATTTCACGTTTCAATTTATGCGTGTTCGTGACATGATAGAATTGAAGACTTTCAGTGAAAAAATAAAATCGTACAAGTAAGAAATAAAGTTTTCATTAAATGGTAACAGAATTACAATTCGTAAGGGTAACGAAACGTGTTTAGAATGACTACACTACACTAGACTAGATTATGCTATGCTACGCTATGCTATGCTACTCCTAAAAAAGGAAAAAGAAAGGTGGTCGAGAAATCATACCCAAAGCTGTCTCATATGCACAGTATGCCTTATGCACAGGCTGCGGAGTGCATGTGAGGTATTGTGGGAATTAGATTTTCGACCCTCTGCTACGAGCATGGCTCGTTTAATTTATAGACAAAGATTTGGGAAAGGTAACTGTTTCTGACGTGCCCCGGAAGTGCATAACCGTTCTAAACTTCCACCTCGACCTCGTGGCTTATTCCCGGGCACGTCTTTGGATAACTCTTGGAACTGCTCATTAACTTCCCCAAACCGTTCTGCAGCCTTTGACACTTATCCCATGATTTACTTCAACCGCTATTACATCGTGTCTCCTTTAAGTTCTTCATTCTGAGAGGTTGCGAAGTGTGTTCGTGTATGTCCGGATTCTTGGGATTTCGAGTAACCAACGAAAAATATACTACTCGAGTGTTTCCTGATTTTTCTTGTACTTTGAGAGGTTGCGAGGCTGTGAGCCTTTCTCTTGAGCAGCGTCCTTCCTAGTTCAATAATTTCGAGAGTTTCTCGAAAAGTGTCTTCGTGTCCTTCCTGGTACAATGATTTCGAGAGTTTCTCGAAAAGTGTCTTCGTGTCCTTCCTCAGAAACTTCTTTGTCATTTTCCGATCACCTAGGATTTAAAGCACCTCTGTATTTCGAGTGCCTCCGAATTCATTTTCCGGTACCAACAAAAAGGTAGCATTTTGTCATAATCATATTCTAAATTGTTTCCATCTCTATCTTAGTTATAGGTCATAATCATATTCTAAATTGTTTCCATCTTTATATTAGTTATAGAATAAATTGTATGAAAAGAGAAATATTTATTAACTGTAGAATAAATTATATTTGAAATTAAATATTTATTTTATTAGTGCTTATTATTTATGAAAAAAATCAATTATTAAGAGTCTAAGTGAGTATAAGTAACTCGAAAATTTAAATTAACTCAAACTGGTCCAATAAATTTGGATTGAATTTTTTTTATGTTTGGATCAAATCCAATTTAACTTAATCAAAACATTGAACTTTATGGATTTGATTACATTTTTGTATTCTTTGACATGTGACATAACTTGATTGAATAATAATAATAAATAAATAAATAATAACAAAATAATAATAATAATAATAAATTAGTGTAATTATTATTCAAGACAATACTCTTTGTTACTATTATTTAGTAACGATTATTGTGTTTTTTGAGTTGATAACATTGTAATAATACAAAATATTCATTTTAAATTTTATTTTGTATTAATATTTGATTGTTTGAGTTGATAACAATATTGTTAATCAACAAATTTATTTTAAAATTTAGTTTACATCATCATTTATTTTATTGTTTAACAATATTATATTTACAATAAAATATCAAATAATTTAAATCTATTATAAAATATTTAATTTTTTATAAAAAATAAATAAATTTAATTATATTAGTCCAATTGATCTAATCTAATTAAATTTATTTATGATTGAATTGGATTGGATTATACAAAATATATATATATATATAGACCTCACCTAATCTAACACATAAAAATTCGATCCAATCAAATACTGAATTCATTAAAATTCGGTCCAACTCAACACGCATGCACCTGTATTAGTTATTACTGTTCACAATAAATCTTTTTGATAATTTCATGTATTTCACATGTCTCCTAGCATTGTCATTCATTGTTCTTGGTAACTTAATTTTACCGACTGAAGGTAGTATTTAACTGGATGCTTTTTTTTTTTCTTTTCTTTTCTTTCAATTATTGCAAAGCACGCCCGCCACTTCGAAGTAGAGCAGTAGTAGTATATATAACCCCCAACACACTCTTACTACTAACTTTTATCCTATTTTTATTCTTCCTTTTTTTAATTATATTACATATTTATTTATCACTTTTTTACTTTTTTATTTTATTTTTCTTTCTATCTCTTTCCCCCCGTGTCCTAATTCACCTTAAAATGGAGTGAAAGTAAATGATAGTAGAAAGAGATGTAGTTTATGACAGGAAAAGAAAAGCAAGTGTTGACTAATAGGAGTACGAGAAACATGCAAAATGAAAGGGAGTGCATAGAAATTAGAAACAAGTAATGCAGAAAAGATGCAAACATGGCACGGCCACTGTCAAACACGGCACATCGTTGCCTTATTCCTTTCTACACTTTTCTTTCATGTATGACACGTTTTCTGTTTCTCTCGATATCCAAAAACAGAGACAGGCAAGTAATCCTATAAATAACAAAAATTCCAGCTATTAATTATTCAGAGGGGAGAATTTCGAAGTTGGAACCTTTCTTTTCTTGCTCATTTGTTTTGTTTTTGGGTTCATTACTTGTGGTTCTCCCTGCCTTTTCGTTCCTCTCAATATTTTCCCACCATTGATATGACCGTTTATTTTTTCTTTTTAAAAGGGGAAAACTTTTTTGTTATTCTTTTTTTAGAGAATTGGATTACCGGCTGCATTAAATAATTCCCTCTTCCCCTTCCAAGGTTCACACCTTCATTTTGTACCTTATCTCTATAAATTCCCCAGCCACCATTCCTTCAACTCACAAACTCTCACACTTTCTCTTTCTTTCCTTAACATTAAGCAAATATGAACAAGATCACAGCCCTGTTCTTCATGGCTCTGTTCCTCCTCTGCATGATCACCCACTCCGCACGCCTTGAACCAGCCTTTCAAGAGGAATCTTTGGAGTCCACAAAACTTGAGGTTGGTCTTGTTTTTATTGCTCTTGTTAATTAGCTTTTGCACCTTTTTCCTATTCTTAGTGAATATGTTTCTGATGATGATCCATATATCGGTCATACGTCTAGGATATTGATGAAAGCTGTGAAGGCATTAAAGAAGATGAATGCTTGATGAGGAGGACACTTGCCGCACACATCGATTATATTTATACGCAGAAGCAAAACCCTTGAAAGAATTTTCTCTCTTCTTCTTTTCATGGTTGTTTGGTGTTTTACTATATTAGGCGCTAGTACCATGCTTATTTGGCTAAGGCCTCAAATGCTCTTTCCTCTCTTTTATGCTTATGTATAGCATATTTATATTTATATCACTGCTATATATCATGAAATTATAATAAATATATTTGATAGTTGTGTAACCAGTTATCCTCACCTTAAGAATTATTCTTCTCTTCCTTTGTTAATAGTTGTGTAATTAGATGTTCATGAACCATTTGTGTCTCACAAGAGAATGAAATGCGATATTATGTTTCAGATTTTCACAGCCACGACTGGTCTATGTTACAACTATTTCTTGGTTTTTGAATTAGTAAACTAGGACTCAGCTCACTAAACACAACCTGCATAGAGCTGTTTTTTTTATGAATAAATTCCTTGTACATCTTTGAAGGAAACACAAAATAGAAGAGAGTAGTTAGGCAACATTAGCACAAATATTACCTCGGATCCATTGAGTCCACTAGATTTATGCTAAATGATTTCCTTAATCGCAGAATTATGATAAATAAATTAGTAAATTACTGTGGATCTTTTGAGAGGTCGATAACAAGACCCTAATTCTTTTTCTTAACAATTAAGTTGTGAAAGTAACAATAACTTCGAATTTAATACAAACTATTACTCTTCTTTTCTCTGCTCTGCTTCGAGTATTGAATGTATGAGTAATCAATAACTTCGAGTGGGGAAGAGTGATCATATTAGTAGACAGTTGAGGTTGAAGATATAACTGTATATGTTATTTGACTTAATTGGGGAGATAGAGGTGCCTCGAAGAAATAAACTGCCCTACTAGTGTAGTATTAGAATTTACAAGCTTTAACTTGCCATAATTCCTCAATAATTATGCTGCTGCTGGCCTAAAGAAATATAGGCATACAACAGGAGAGAATCCTTTCCGTGACCAAGAAAGTAACGATAATTTTTTATGAAATTTGTCTATTTTTATCCCAACATGATGGTCCACGGTATATATGAAATATTTTTATATTTACATTCAAATTCTATTATCATTTGCCTGAATGAATTTAACTTCATATGTTTTAGAAGATAAAATGGATTTTAATAATTTGTTAGAGAAATAACGTTTGAAATTTTCATAATTGTCCTATTGCTTATCACTAGTTTAAAAATTATTATACATATTTTGTCATAATTTTGATGATTAATTTTTAATTAATAATTATAACAATAATTTACCAATTTGAAGATTACTCGTACCTTTTTTTTTTTTTTTTAATGTTCAATGACGATGAGAAGAATCTAACTTGATTTCTCACACATTTACTTTAAAATCTCCATCACTAAAATCAATTTTAATAGTCAAATTTATCATCACTTTAAAAAAAATTATTATAAAGAATTTCCTCTTTATAATCACATTATTCATTTTATGAAGAAAAAAAATTACAAAGATTGGTTGGAATCACATGGTGTCAGACCATATAATAATTTATCCTCTTACTTTTCATAACATACCACATTATTGCTATATAGTACTTTATTTATTTCAAATTTGTACACATATCTACTATTCATAGGCCAGTATATTTTGTTTAAAGTGTCCTCATTCAATAATAAATAAATATGTATTATTTTTTTTCTTCTAAATTATAAGAAATATAGGCTCAACTCAAGACATTTCTCCCTCTATTCTCTATTGTAAGTAAAACAAAATTAATTTCATAAATGTTAAGAAATTGATTAATTACATTAAATTTTTATTAATCTCAATATTTTTTCTAAATTACTTTTGTTATATATGTTCAAAAATGTAATACAACTAGAGGATCATGCATTAAAGGAAGAATATTTTGTGAAGAATATCATTAAATAAAATAAAAGTATGTAAAATATGCTTATTTTTGAGAGAGAAAATAAATGTGATTTGTGTTGCTTAAAACAGGAAAAAGAGGGAGTAATTGTTAATATTTTTTGTTCTATTATTTTTTTTTGTAAAATTTATTAACAATTCACCTACTCGTTCCCATTTGAATTGTTGCATTTATAAGTCTATTAACGATATAAGTCACATTCACCTATAATATAAAAAAATCTTGAGTTAGATGTTTTATCATTAAATGTAACCTTTACTTAAACGATTTATTTCAAAGGATATTTTCAAATAAAATTTAATTTTAGTTATGACACGATTAATTAAAATTAAGTAACTCAACTACTTGTCTTGATGAACATGAATTAGTGTTTATTTCTTATAAAAATGATCTTAAAGGATATTTAAACAAAAAAAAATCTTATAAAAATGATCTTAAAGAATATTTAAACAAAAAAAAAAGATTTTTTTTGTTAAATATAGGTAAAATTTAACTATTTTTGTCTTATTTAATAATATGTTTTTTAAAATATCTCTTCTTTAATGCATGACTTTTCCGCTATACTACTTCTTTTAATATTTATAACAAGGACAATATTAAAAAAAAATTATTTGATTAGTAAAATTTAATATATATAACTAATTTTCTTAAAATTAGTGTTTCTTTTACTTATAATAGAGAACTGATGGGTAACTTATTATAAAATACTTATACAAATGTGGAAAGAAAAAATAATGATACTTAATGTGAGTAAAACATCGATAGTTTTGGTTCGGTGTTAGTATTAATTAAAATTATTTTTATATAAATTAAAATAATTATTTTAAACAAAAATATTTTTAAGAATTATTATTCAATAAAAATGTTTTTAGGAGTTTTTTTTATGAGAATAATTTTATAAAATTTTGCTTAATCTTCTATCTCTTTTAATCTACTTTTTTCATTTTTTTTATTTCTAAATTAAATTTAATATTTTTAAAAAATCTTAACCAGCCATTCGGCCCATGTGAGAAAGGGTGGCACGAGTTTCTGTCTCTTGACCTGTGGTGTAATGTTAATATACCACGGGAGATTTTTGTCCTCGTGATCCATTGAAGCATTCAGCGTATTCTACTATTTAATCCAAGTTTCCCTCAAGAAGGCTTAGAGCTGTCTTTTTTAGTTAATTGGTGATCACGGGTGAACTTTCCATCATAATCGGACCATGGAGCCTTTCTCGTGGCGTTTAATTTTATGTTTGGTCCAAGGACAACTTGTTTACACACAAATACATCCATATGTATTGTCATAGCGCGAGAATTGAGCTTCACTGATATACACTGAGTGATGACAGATAATTATTCATCACGTTGCCACACCAATATTTGCACTAGCATGTAACCACTTAAGAATGAATTGTCCCATTTCACATTAACTATCTTTTATCCATTATATGGTGAAGTTGGATCCAACCCATGAAATCACCCGCCGATTTGATTGCAATCACCATCCTTCCGGAAAGGAGTTTCAAATAAACCATGTTCATCCAATTCATACAAATACAATTAATTAATGAGTTAATTTGGCACTCCAAGCCCCAAGTCCTTTTCTATAGAATGAAACAACTACCTAGATTATAACTAACATAGATAATTATTATATAACTAAACTAACTACTACAATGTACTTGGAATCAATAATTTAACTTGTGTTTTATACAGAAGAAGTGAGAAGAAAAAGATAGAAAAAAAGTGAAGAGAAGTATGAAGAAGTATATGAAAATAGAATAAAAATAAAAAAAATTATTTGATAAGAAGGAAATAAAATGAAATTTGATTTTTTATAGATAATTTTGTTTAAAAATAAGTTGTTATTATTATTTTAAAATAAATAAATAGATATATTTTCATAAATAATTTTATTTAAACATAATAAATGTTTTTTTTTTGTTTTTCTGTTTTTATTTTTATTATTATTATTTCATTTTAGTATATATAGCATAATAAATAAAAATATATTAATTATTATTTATTATTAGTAGTATTTTATTTATTTATTATTATTATTATTAGTTGTCGCTATCTCCCTACAATTCTCCTAGTTTTAGAGGGAAAATTTTTTGAGTTCAACGGTTAAATTTCCACACTTCCCCTCACTTATTTTTTACCAAACAACACTTTTTAACTTCCACACACTTCTCTTATATTCCTACTGTTCTTTTCCACCGACCTTCCCTCAAACATACCCTTATATTTGTTTTGCTTTTACGTCAAATAGGAAGTGGTTTTGGGGCAAATGTGGATCTGTGATGCTCAACCAAACGCACACTACATCACTACAATTCCTATCGTAATGACAGGGTTCCATGACGCATCAATAAAAGTGGAGTTTTAGCTTATTTAAACGCTTACTAATACGAAGCTAGCATACTGTGTATCAAACGTGCATGAGTGCAATTTCCACTGCCACAGCTACACAGATATCAACATTGCACTTCCATTGATGATGAAATGAATTAGGAAAAAAAGGACGTGTAGAGAATTTAAGAGTAAAGGTTAGGTGTAACCTCAGTTGCACTGCAGTTTAAGCACAAACACAATAGGTGAGGCTCAGCCGGTTTATAATATGCCAAAATTTCCAAACACATTAATAAGTAACAGTTATAATAATTGCAGAAATGTGCCAGCAACATAGGTTTGGCCCCTCCAATAACAGTTTAAAAACATTATCCACGAAGGGAACTCTAGCCAGAGTTAACAAGACATTAGAAATCTCAGTCAGTAATACACCCTCTCATTCAAATTCGTCATGGAATTAAAAATTTAAAATGCCCTGCATATGTACCCCTGGCCAGTAGAAAATATCAAATCAACATCATAAACAGAATGATGTATTTACAACAGATTCCGATTGAAGAATAGGTTTAATCATGCATGATAACACCCAAAACAATAATGCTGGGCTATGAGGGAGTTCTGGGAGGTGGTGGTTTGTCTCAATGAGTTTACATTTTAACTATGTAAGAGAGAATACATGACTTCTATGGTCACTATACATTCTTTAATATTTCATATTTTCAACATCATTTACAAAATAATCGATGTATGATATAAAGATGTTATAAAACAGCTGCGGCGCCAGAAAATTCTTCTATAGTTCAAATAACTAAGCAATAGCATCTATATATGGTGAATGAAAGTAGTCCCAACTACCGCTTAAGCAGGCACCAATGCCCAGGCTCCACCCATTATGTGGAGGCACAACGAGAGACATATTGTGACAATAACAGACGATTTGGCTGCAACATATCTCACAATCTCAAGAACAGCTTCGTGAACAATATGAGCACATCTTCTCACAGAAGCACAAAGTGTCTGCAAAACAAACTCCATGAACGACCTAACAGTCTCAAAAGTCACCCTGCCGGTCACATCAAGGAAAAGCCTCCTATTGCTTGGAATCGCCAACGTGGACGAAACCTTGCTCACCCAGCCATTCATATTTTCTTCATCAGAAACATCCACCTTGGATTCAATCGACATTCCAACACCCAAGTCCTCATCTCTGAGAGTTTCTTCAGCAACCAAACACGAAGCTAAACCCGAACCAACATCAGCATCATTTGAACTTGTTAACACTTGGTGAGAAGTCTTGACAAGCGTCTCCACAGCACCATTACAAACAGATACCAGCATATCTCTCACATTAGTCTCATGCTTGGGGTTAGTTAACCCAGCAAAGAAATCATCATAGGTGTTGATATGCATGGTCTTATCAAGATAAACCGCAACCGCGGTGCTCACAAACAATTGCACACAATTCCCAATTAATTCCCCACACCGATTACCACAAACTACATCCACCCATGCAACGACAGAATCCGAATTGGAGCCAACATGTGCAACAGCACTATTCCCATTGCTCGAGTTCGATTCCCCACCTAAGTGGTCATTCTGATCAGAATAAAACGCAAGAACGAGGTTCCTAGCAAAGCTTCCAAGAACTACAGAAGCAAAACCCGACCCAGCGGGTGTTAGCATTTTGTCAAGCACCCGGTCAACGACGGTTGAACCGGTTTGGTCAGCACCGGTTCGGTTCATGGATTGGTAACCGCGCAAGACTCCGACGGTGACAGCACGGGTGACGCTAACCAAAGACTCTGACAGCTGTTGAGAGCGAGCTATCTTGGAAATTTGCTTCAAGCTATTGGGGATTTCATCCGAATCGGATTGCAGAAAATCCTTCACGTCTCTGGAGACGATTCCAATGGTATCCGCGGATTCGGATACGGCTTCCGCTACGGAAACCAACGCAACCAGAAGCTTCGAAAGCCTCTTTCTCTTACGAGCTATCGACGGCGCGTGATAGAGCTTGTAAGCGCTGTACCCGCCGAACCCAACCGCACATGAAATTAACACCCACTTCTTTCTTTTACGGACATAATCAAAACCTTGACCCACTAATTGCAGTTCCATTAACCTAAATTACGGGTACAGGTTTAATTGATAGAGAAAAGATATGAGAGACGAACCTGGGAGAAGGTTATGAGGTGAAAATTTGAGAGTTCAAACTTTGCTTTTTGGTGGAAGCAATTGCCCCAACCGTCATCTTCAATTCAGCCGTCACGCGACCCACGCCACATACGAATCATAACCACCACTAAATATTTCTGTTTTTTTTTGTTTTTTGCTTGGGATATACACTGTTATGGGCCTCTTGGATAAGCCCACGAGTGTCACTTAGCAGGTAACATAAGCAAATCACGTAACCAAAAAAAAAAAAAAAAGTCTGAAGCGTGTGATTTGAGTGTAGTATGAAAGGAAAAGCTGAGGGTGGGTGATGCGATTTGCGATTCCAGAAGGGAATCCCAATGAGGGTTAATCGCAAACACGTGGATTCCGGTTGGAGGGGGATATGATGAGTGATGCCACGACAGAAGATGAGTGTTTGAATTTGACTGCATGTGCAATTAGAAAACGGAAGACACGTGGCATAGATAATTGTTGTGAGTGGATCTATCCATATTTGCTGAGGTGTGCAGTGAGTTGCATTTACGAAGGCAGAAGCAACTTGGTGGTATCCCCAAATGCCACGAACACGAACCACAGCTCCCAGCATGCTACCAAAGGGGAGAGAACAGAGAATTATTGCTTTTTGGTTTCCAATATATATTGGGTACGAAAGGTTTAGCTGATATATATGCGTGGGAAAATTGAGAACACGCAGCCAAAAATAGTAAATTAAGATTTCTCCCGGTCTTTCATCCTCTTCTTTCTCCAATGGAAACCTCCACTCCATGCATTCCACATTAGCTGCTAATGCTATCCCTAGCTACACCCACATCAGGTAACGTAACCTTCTTTTTCATCATTTTTACCATGCTCTCCTTTTCTTATTTTTCATCAAATTCCAGATATTAATGATGCAAAATTTATCAATTTCATAAGTTGTCACCAATCACCACACCACTTCCTTTTCTTTTTTATCAAATAAATCTCTTACCATAATTAACAAGAAAATTCGGAAACCTCCAAAGATTTTTCCCTGTGCTTTGGCTTTGGAAACAAGATATACGGCGCACCAATATCCTCATTCCTCACGTTTTCTTTTTATCTTAATAAATACACGCTTTCTTTCACCATTCTCTTTCAACGCTTTTAAACTATAAAGCCTGGGATCGATATAATCTGCAGATAGCAGCGCTGCTTCAGGGGTTATCTCGCAACACCCTCCGAACTCAAATTTTTCATAAAGAAATATGGAAATATGTTACCATGCCCACATCGATCGCGAGATTGAATCTCTCATAGAAAGAATATATCCTCCTAGGTACAATTACTACCCAACAATCTCTCTCTCAATTTCTTGTTTATTTAGACATCACTGTTTTTCTGGCTTAATTAGCCGATTCATGATCATAGATTACTTAATGAATTACACCTATTTAATTCTGTGCTGGCAGGGTCTGTATCGATAATGATTCTTGCCGAGACTGCACTGTAGTGAAGGTTAGATATACAATTCTATATACATTCAACTTGCATGTTTTAAATCACCAATATAACCTAATGATTTCTATATACTGGGTTTTATTAATTATGATTCGTGCCCCCATTCGTCATTCATGGCTTCCAGGGATCGCCATCCACATTTAAATCAGGTCTAGTACTTTTAGTACTTCGTGAGATAAATCATTGAGTATATTGTAGGAAAATGGGTAGAAACATGATACACATGAATTAGATTAATATCCATTGTGGAAATCCCACTTGGCGCTTAAGTATAATAACTAATCATGATCAATATATATTATATTATACAAGTTGCAAAGAGATTAAGTTGTCAGTCTATCACTTGGTACCAAAAGCCAATGCAAATTGCGGTAAGTGCTTGCTTAATTTTTAACCATTCCAAGGGGATATGAATGATAAAGGATAAAACAATTCTAACCTGTTTCGGAATTAATTTCGTGTTTTCCGTTTCCTTGTCTACTTCTTATAAGAACCCAAGAAAAAAAGAAAACTGCTCCTCTTCTTAAAGAAAACCAAATTTGGATTTTGCTGTATTGTATATGAAAACGACGTTAGTAACAGGATTCCTTGGCTATACTTAAAATACCCTTGACTAGATTTTGTTTTACAAATCGAAGATGAAATATAATATAAAAAAAAGTGTGTTGTGAAAAAGCAGGTTGATAGTGCAAACAGGAAGGGCATACTATTGGAGATGGTCCAAGTGTTGACAGATCTTGACCTCATCATTTCCAAATCATACATTTCCTCTGATGGGGGATGGTTTATGGACGGTCAGTGTGTGTCTCCCTTTTATTCTTCAGCTTTCTACAAACTTCCCAATCCACCGAAATGATGTAATCCTTAAACACCTTACTTTATTATCTTGAATGAGCTAGGCATGAGTCATATAACCCCGTGCCCCATAACTGGTCAAGGACACTATAATTCATCTGCAAATGTTAATTGTTCGGTTCTGATCCATGCCGTGTGGGTCTTTTTCTTTATTGCCAAATGCAGTGTTCCACGTGACTGATGAAGCTGGCAAGAAGCTCGCAGACGAAAAGCTCTTGCTCCACATCCAGCAGGTCATTCTGTCTCTTTCTGGAAATGTTATTTCCACTTAAAATTATGACGTCATACTTCCAACTTGTTTGTTTAATAAATAAATAATGTTATTTCTGTTGCCAATTGGTAGATAAACAAATTTTTATCTAAAACTTAAAGAGTGAAAGATAAAGGAGAAAAAATTATAGATATAATTAGTGATATGAAGATAAATAAAAAAAAATGAGGTATTCATGACGTGTATACAAATTTGGGATGTCCAAAATGTATTGTCCTCAGAACATGCTTAGTTTTTTTTTTAACTCTATCTTTATAATTAACTAAAATTGTTAGAAATTATTTTGTGAGTCCTACTACAACTTTAAAGTGATTGAAAGAAATAGTTATTAGCAAAATTGATATAAGAAAAATCAATAAATGAAACACGAAATTTATGAATATTTATGATTTAAAAATGAGTCAATAATACAAAATGATAGAAAGATAGTGTTAAAAAAATGCATTGCCGACATTTCTCAAAATAAGAAATGTAGATTAAATATGTGTGTACTTCATGTTTTATTATCTAATTAATTATTTAAAAAAATGAGAAAAATAAATTCTTAAAGGTCCTATCTAACTTGAGAGAAATAGGAAGAAATATAATTAGTGATGTTTAAGCAGTAAGATATTAAGATAAGAGTGTAGTTAATTAACCAGTGCTCTAAAGACACTGATTAAGGAATTAATAAGTAAAAAAAATGATTGAAAACTAAAATAAAAGCATTTGTTAGCATTTTCGTATTTTTGAACTAAAAAGCATTTATACAAATAAAATAATATCCTTATGTATGAATATTGTTTTATTTTGAATAACATCTTTCTATTTTTGAACTAAGAGCATTTATTGGAGTTCTGTTAAAACAAATATGTAAATATCTGAAGTGAATGAATGATTAATAATGCAGGAACTGTGCGCCACGAGAAGTAAAGGGGAGATTTGTGGGGATAGAGAATTGGGTAATTGGAAAGGAGCAGAGGAACAACATGCAGCAACAGCAACAGCAACAGCAACGGAGAAGACAGCGTTAGAGATGAGTGGCAGGGACCGAGCGGGCCTACTGTCAGAGCTGTCAGCAGTCCTAGTGGAGTTGGGCTGCAGCGTAACCTCCGTAACGGCCTGGACCCACAACGACAGAGTGGCCTGCATTATATTCCTGGAAGAAGCATCCGAAGCAGGGCCCATAAGCGACCCAAAGCGGTTGGCCCAAGTGGAGGAGCAGCTGCAGAATGTGGTGGCGGCCCACAGCGGTACGGGCGAGAGAAAAAGCGTGAGGCTGACGACGTTGGGCGCAGGGCGCACCCACACGGAGCGGCGGCTCCACCAGCTCATGTACGCCAACAGAGATTACGAGAATTGCCACGGCGAACACAAGAAGGGGTGCGATGGGACCCACGTCTATGTGGGAAGATGCGAGGACAAAGGTTACTTGGTCGTTAACGTCACCAGCATGGACCGTCCTAAGCTCTTGTTCGACACCGTTTGCGTGCTAACCGACATGCACTATGTCGTCTTTCACGCCGCCATTAGTTCCAACAGATCCATCGCTCATCAGGTACATGCATGCATGCATGAATCTCTATTATTCTTATTATACACTTAATTAATTAATCTTGTTTATACTATAGGAGTACTTCATAAGGCACAGCATGGATAGTTCAGGTCTTCCTAGTGAAAGCGAGAAGCAAAAGCTGACGTTATGCTTAACCGCTGCAATTGAGCGCAGAGTCTCGCGTGGATTAAGGGTGGATATTGGGACTGAAAATCGAATGGGGCTGTTATCGAATGTGACGCGGGTGTTTCGTGAAAATGGGTTATCGATATCAAGGGTGGAGATTGGAAGAGAGGGAAAGAAAGCGGTGGGGTCATTCTTTGTTAGAGATTGTTCAGGTGAAGAAGAAGTAAACCCAAATATCCTGGAATTGGTTAGACGAGAGACTGGTGGCTCCCTAGTTACTCATCACAACTCACCACACAGGGTACGTCAATCATCATCATCCTCAGCATCGTCGATTATACATGAAAGCAAGGAGAGCATAGAAGCTAAGCCAAGATCCTCTCTCGGAAGAATGCTATGGTCTCGATTAGAACGCCTTTCCGCCGGTTTTCGCCCCGTTAGATCCGGATGAGATTCTACCTACCAAACTCAATACCTCTGTACATAACATTTTCTAAATTAGTTTTTTTTTTTCTTTCCTTTCCTCATTTCATTTACTATTACTTGGGTAACCGGGTAAGAGTGTTCTAACAGGGGTTTTGATGCTCATTGTACATATTTTTATCACATGAAAATTCCGGGATTTTACACGAGGAGAAATGAGTTTTTCAGATTGCACTAGTAGTTTTATTTTTAAACACTATTGAAGTTGCATGGGTAATTGTATCGTGGTCGTCTAATATGGGCCGACCCAACACACATCAACGAGAAGCCGACCCAATACACCGCTCCACTGTGCTTAAGTCGAGATAGCTTCGAACCGGGACGAGGGGATCTCCTATCGGCTGACCCAAGGCACGTCGGTAAAATACCGAACACATCAACCAAGATGTCTCTAGGCCAAATGAGCCCGTCGCATATTGACACGTTCAGGAATTACACATAGGGGGACCCAGATGTGGGGAGGCTCGTTTGGCTTACTCAAGTAATCAATAACACCCCACGATCCGCAAGATAAGGGAAATAACAGTCATAAACGCAGAGAATCGCGAGTTCATGAGGAGGGCGTGATTCAAGGGATTCATGTTAGTAACGCCACACCACTATATATAGCAATGATTAAGTCTGATAGAGTAGGTGACTTTTGATAGAGTGTTCTAGGTTAAGACTACAGCCCGGTCCTTTAGCTCGGATTGCTAAGGGTTCCTCGGCGGCGGTCTCCTATACTGGAACATTTTGGCGCCCACCGTGGGGCAGGTAAAACTGCATCCCACACCTTTCTTTTTGACGTGAGCGGAAGGTCACAATGACGAGAGTTCTAAGAAGCAATGCGACAGGAACCAGCAATGACGACGTCGTTGGTGCTATAGCTGGGAGCACCGGCGGAATTGAAAATCCCATTCCTCCCGCCGGCGGCCACACCCTAGAAGAAGTCTTCGCTGCAATGGAAACCTTACGGCGAGAGAATGAAGAAGCGCGGCGACGAGTAGAAGAGGCTGAGCGGCTATATCGGCAGAATCACACGGAGACCAATAACAATCCTACGCTACAAGAGATTCTGGCCACGGTGGAGACGTTGAGGCGTGAGAACGAAGAGGCGCGACGGAGGGCGGAAGAGGCAGAGCGCCTACGTCAACACGACATCGAAACGCTTGATAATGATCCAGCGTTGAGGGAGATCACGGCCACGGTAGAAGCGCTGAGACGAGAGAACGAAGAGGCCTGGAGGAGAGTGGAGGAATCCGAACGCCTACGACGGGAAGATCAAGAACTTATGCGTCGTCTTAATGAGGACCATCGGAGAAGAGCCGAGGAGGCTCAAGCGGCATTACAGGCTCAAATTGCAGAGTTACGAAGAAACAACATGGAAGGCGGAGGGCCGGAACCAGCAAGAATATTTCAAGGGGGAATAGAACCACCAAGAGCATTTCAACCTTTCTCCGAAGCCATAGAAAAAGAAGTTGTGCCCCCACATTTGGCCATTCCGCGTATCGCACCGTTCGATGGCACCCAAGACCCTGACGAACACCTGATGACTTATCGAGCCCATATGTTAATCAATGCTGGATCTGACGCCGTATACTGTAAACTATTTGTAGGTACTCTCACAGGAACGACATTGAAGTGGTTCAGCCAATTGGTAGACCGATCCGTGACCGGATACGATGTTCTGTCGCGACTTTTCGTAGCCCAATTTGCGGCGAACAAGAGAAAGTCCATGACGATCGCAGATCTATTAGATGTTCGCCAGTACCAAGGAGAGTCCCTGAAGGAATATCTAGACCGATTCAATCAAGTCGCAATCAAAGTGGCTAATCCTGATGAGCAGATGTTTGTGATTGCGTTCAGCAAGGGACTCAGGTCCGGACCGTTTTCAGAATCCCTTGTTCAAAGGACGGCTGAAAACATGGCCGAGGTCCGTGCAAGAGCTGCTTGTCACATCGAGGCAGAGGAAAGTGAGACTCGGAAAAGAGAGGCTAAGAAGAAGGAGAGTACACGTACCCCAATTACCCCAAATAGCCGTCATTTGAAGGCAAGGAACGATTGGTCAAAAAGAGATAATGTCCAGCAATCGAACCGTACCAACTTTCAAAGTAGAACCAGACATAACGTTGCTTCTGATTTAGTTGACGTCAGAAATTCGACGCCCTTGAACATATCCTGACGCCAAATCCTAAGAGATGTACAGGTCACACGCCTACTAAGTTTCCCGCAAAAGGGGAATCGTGTATTAGGTTCGGTCAAGGGGAGCTAGTGTGAATTCCACCGTGCATACGGTCACGACACAGAGGAATGCTACGGCCTCATCCAACAAATGGAGCACTTGATTAAAGACGGCCATTTGAAATCTTATGTCAGGCGATGAAGCCGGAAGGATGAAGGGGGGAGTTCGGGAGAGACGCGACACCAATCAATCCGAAGGAGGCCAGCTTCCGATCGTCAAAACGACGATCACGAACGCCCCGTGCTTGGTGCCTTCAACACAATCGCAGGCGGCTTTGCTGGAGGTGGGTCAACGTCAGCCGCAAGAAAAAGGTATGCACGCTCTGTCTTCACTATTGATCGGGTGGGAGAAGCCCGACCTTCCACACCGATCACATTTTCGGACGATGATTACAATGGAGTCGTTCCCCATGAGGATGACCCGGTAGTGATTTGCGTCACCATGATGAGTAGAAACGTCAAAAGAGTCTTAGTAGATCAAGGTAGCTCGGCCGACGTCCTATTTTGGGACACGTTCGTGGGGCTAGAAGTCCCCTCTGACCGCCTCCAATCCTTCGACGGTGTACTTGTGGGTTTTACAGGGGACGAGATTGAAATCAGGGGTTACGTGGAGCTTAAAACAACCTTCGGCACCGGAACATCCATGAAGACCATCACGGTAAAATACTTGGTAGTTAATTCTCCATCCTCTTACAATATATTGTTGGGTCAACCTTCCTTGAACAGGTTAAAAGCGATAGTATCAACTCCACATCTTAAAGTGAAATATCCCTTAGACGGCGGTGGCATAGGTACGATCGAAGTCGACCAACAAGTATCAAGAAAGTGTTACCAAGACAGCATGAAGAAGAGGAGAACGTCAAAGGTCGTTGGGCCCCCATACCAGGTACAGTTTCTTGACCTCGATCCGAGGGAAGACTTCCCCAAGGACCGACCCCAACCTGTAGAGGACCTGAAAAATGTCACAATCGCGCCGGGAAAGTAGGTCAGATTGGGAACCTCACTTGAACATGAGGTGGAAGACGCTTTGGTTCAGGTTCTCAAAAGAAATGTCGATGCATTTGCTTGGCACCCAAGTGATATGCCAGGAGTGGACCCTGATTTTTTGTGTCACAGGTTAGCAATCAACCCCCGGGTGAAGCCTGTGGTGCAAAAACGAAGAAAGTTCGGTGAAGACAAAAGGAAAGCAATTCGGCAAGAGGTGGAAAAATTATTGTCCGCCAGTCACATCAGGGAAATCCAATACCCGACGTGGCTCGCAAACGTCGTGATGGTCAAAAAATCCAACGGCAAATGGAGGATGTGTGTCGACTTTACAGACTTAAATAAAGTTTGCCCCAAGGACTCGTATCCCCTTCCGAACATTGATTGTTTAGTTGACGGGGCATTAGGTTATAAACTACTCAGCTTCCTGGATGCGTATTCGGGATATAATCAAATCCGGATGCACCCCTGTGACGAGGAAAAGACGTCATTCATAGCCGACATAGCCAATTACTGCTACAAGGTGATGCCCTTTGGGTTGAAGAATGCAGGGGCCACCTATCAACGTTTGATGGACAAAGTATTGGTGCACATGATGGGATGAAACGTTGAAGCCTACGTGGACGACATGGTGGTGAAGTCATCCGACGACTCTCATGCGTTAGACTTGCAAGAACTCTTTGACACAATCAGAAAATACCAACTGAAGCTCAATCCGGAGAAATGTTCATTCGGCGTTCAGGCTGGAAAATTCTTGGGTTTCATGTTAACTCACCGTGGAATAGAAGCCAACCCGGAACGATGCTCGGCCATCATTAATATGAGAAGCCCAAGCAGTGTCAAGGAGGTCCAACAACTGACAGGGCGAGTCATATCGTTGTCACGCTTCCTTTCAAAAGTTGCTGATAAGGCCCTTCCTCTTTTTAGTTGTCTAAAGAAGAAGAAAAGATTCACGTGGTCAGACGAGTGCAAAGACGCGTTTGGCCAATTGAAAGAATGTTTAGGGAGTCCCCCCATCCTATCAAAACCAGTGATAGGCCTCCCTTTGTTGCTATACGTGGTAGTCTCTGATCAGGCAATGAGCACCGTCCTTGCTCAGGAGGATGGTGAACAAAAACCTGTCTACTTCATTAGCAAAGTTTTCAAAGGTCCCGAGGTGAGATACAACAAAATTGAAAAAGTAGCACTCGCTATATTAGCAACTGCCAGGAAACTTCGTCACTACTTCCATCAAGTCATTGTCAGGACCGACCAACCAATAAGACAAGTCCTTCACAAGCCAGACTTAGCAGGCCAAATGATGAAATGGTCGGTAGAGTTATCAGAATTTGGGCTACGATATGAACCCCGGGGGCCGATTAAAAGCCAAATTCTAGCGGATTTTATATTAGAACTCACCTCTCCTAACATCACCGAGGTGCAAGAACGACCATGGATATTGTCGGTGGATGGCTCTTCCAACCTCAAGGGCAGCGGCGCGGGTATCATCTTGGAAGGACCCGATGGGGTCCTCATCGAGCAGTCTCTAAGATTTGATTTCAAAGCTAGCAACAATCAAGCAGAGTACGAAGCTTTGCTAGTAGGAATGAGTTTAGCTCAGGAAATGGGCGTACAGACTCTCATAGCCCGTAGTGACTCACAATTAGTAACCGGACAGGTTACGGGAACTTTCCAAGCCAAAGATCCCCAGCTGGCAAGATACTTAGAGAAAGTGAAGGAGATCTCAGCCTCATTTACTACCTTTTCCCTCTCCCACGTCCCGAGAGACCAGAACTCACGAGCGAACTTGTTATCAAAACTGGCCAGCACGAAGAAGTCAGGTTCTAACCAATCTGTCATACAAGAAACTTTGAAAAAGCCAAACATCCATATAGAAGAAATTGATGTATTGTTTTTGCAAGAAGAGCACCGGTCTTGGATGGGACCCATCATCGCGTACCTCGAGCATGGCACCTTACCAACAGACGCCGACCAGGCCAAGAAGCTTATTCGAGATTCGGCGCAGTTTACAATACTGGGAGGAAAGCTGTACCGCGGGGGTTTCAACATGCCATTCTTGCGATGTTTGGCACCTTCACAATGGGGTCGGGTCATAGCTGAAATTCACGAAGGAGTATGTGGTAGCCACATAGGGGGCCGATCACTAGCAAATAAAGTTTTGCGCGCCGGATACTTTTGGCCATCCTTGAAGGCCGATTGCACGGCCTTCGTAAAAAGGTGTGACCGTTGTCAAAAGCACTCGAACTTGCATACAGCTCCAGCTGAGACTTTGCAGTCTGTCTTATCCCCTTGGCCTTTCAATAGGTGGGGCATCGATATACTAGGCCCTTTCCCCATCGCAGTTCGGCAATTGAAATTCCTCATTGTGGTCGTTGACTACTTCACAAAATGGGTGGAGGCCGAGCCCATTGCCACCATCTCTGCAGAAAGAGTAAAGTATTTCATGTGGAAATCGATCGTCTGTCGATTTGGGGTCCCGTACATTATCGTGGCCGACAATGGAACCCAGTTTGCTAGCTCCCGAGTGCAACAATTCTGCCGCGATTTGGGCATTAAGATGTTGTTCACGTCCGTAGAATATCCTCAGTCCAATGGACAAGCGGAAGAGGCCAACAAAGTTAAATTATCAGGACTGAAGAAGTGTCTGCAAGATGCCAAAACAAATTGGGTCGACAACCTTAGCCAAGTCTTATGGTTGTATCACACAACACCACACTCCTCAACCCACGAAACGCCCTTTCGTTTAGTCTACGAAACCGATGCTGTGATTCCAATTGAAATCGGTGAACCGAGTTTTCGAGTAACATCCTTTTCCGAGGAGGGTTCCGAAGAAGGACGAAGAGCCGACCTAGACATCTTAGGAGAAATTCAAGGGACGGCACACATCCAAGAAGCAGCGGCCAAAAGCCGAGCGGTGAAGAAGTATAATTCACGTGTACTCCCGCGGTCCTTCAAGCAAGGCGACCTAGTACTGAAAAAAGCTCAACCACATCAAATCTCCAATAAGCTATCTCCTAGATGGATTGGCCCTTATAGAATCTTACAGGTCGTCGGCAATGGAGCGTACAAACTTCAAACTCTGGATGGCGGAGCAATTCCCCGAACTTGGAACGCGACAAACCTGCGATTTTATTACAGTTAACCTCCCATGTATTTGGTGCACTCTTTTCCTCGCACGGCCTTTTTCTCCCTCAAAATGTGGAAGGGTTTTTTGGCCGAGAAGGTTTTTAATGAGGCACCTCTAATTTCAATACAAACAAATCCTCTCACTTCTCAATTCACTTCACTTATGTGCTACCGTAGCAATACCACATTAACCGCATCTTTGTCCGCCTACACCTTGGCGTGAAAAACGCTTTAAGGTCGGTACTTTAACGTCCTATAACTTGACGTGAGAAACGGTTTAAGGTCGGAATTTTTGCAATCTATTATACCTTGGCGCAAAAAACGCTTTAAGGTCAGAGTTTTTACGATCTATACCTTGGCGCGAAAAACGCTTTAAGGACGAAATTTTTACGATCTACACCTTGGCGTGAAGAACGCTTTAAGGTCGGAATTTTTGCAATCTATTATACCTTGGCGCGAAAAACGCTTTAAGGTCGGAATTTTTACGCTCTACACCTTGGCGTGAAAAATGCTTTAAGGTCGGTACTTTAACGACCTATAACAACGTGAGCAACGGTTTAATATGTTCCGTGGTCGTCTAATATGGGCCGACCCAGCACACATCCACCAAGATGCACCATGGTAGTCCCCCAAAAACTGATCAAACCAAACTTACACAATACCGACCTCACATGCTCTTCGTACCTTAGTGCTTGAGCATGGAGGGCTATGTACCGTGGTCGTCTAATATGGGCCGACCCAGCACACATCCACCAAGATGCACCATGGTGGTCCCCCAAAAACCGATCAAACCAAACTTACACAATACCGACCCATCATGCTCTTCACACTTTAGTGCTTGAGCATGGGGGCTATGTACTGTGGTCGTCTAATATGGGCCGACCCAACACACATCAACGAGAAGCCGACCCAATACACCGCTCCATTGTGCTTAAGTCGAGATAGCTTCGAACCGGGACGAGGGGATCTCCTATCGGCCGACCCAAGGCACATCGGTAAAATACCGAACACATCAACCAAGATGTCTCTAGGCCAAATGAGCCCCTCGCATATTGACACGTTCAGGAATTACACATAGGGGGGACCCAGATGTGGGGAGGCTCGTTTGGGTTACTCAAGTAATCAATAACACCCCACGATCCGCGGGATAAGGGAAATAACGGTCATAAACGCAGAGAATCGCGAGTTCATGAGGAGGGCGTGATTCAAGGGATTCATGTTAGTAACGCCACACCACTATATATAGCAATGATTAAGTCTGATAGAGTAGGTGACTTTTGATAGAGTGTTCTAGGTTAAGACTACAGCCTGGTCCTTTAGATTGGATTGCTAAGGGTTCCTCGGCGGCGGTCTCCTATACCGGAACAGTAATGAAACAGATAAGCTCATTGTTTCTCTTTAAAAGTTCGATAAAACGTAATGGCTTCATCCGGCTATCCTCCGACTCTTCTTACTGACACTTATAACATGTTTGGCAACACATCAATGAAAGCCATACATTTAATTTCTACTTCCACGAAGAAGCTATCCTATTTATTACCTTCTATTTTCACATAAAAAAACACGCTAGTCCGTATGGCTACTGGATATGAAATCAAACATATAGTTAGCTGCGGTTAAGTATAAACTTAATAAATCTTCAATTTAATATTGAAGAATTACTTTTGCTCTTAAATAGTATCTAAAGCAAAACAAATTACTTAAAATAGTTTTAAAAGTAAATTATTAAAAAAATTATGTTAAGCAGTCTCTTAATTATTTCAAAAATATTTAAATTAATTCCTAAATAATAATAAAATATCTATAAAAAAAAAGGCAAAGTGATAACTATTCAATATTTTAAAGATTACTTAAATAATTTTATTACGCTAGGAACAATTTAGCAAAGAGATTAATAGTTGTACAACGAAATTTATAGTTCATTCAATAAAATATAATTCTGAATTTGTCTTGCATGGGCGTATAAAGACAGAAGGAGGCTGCGAAAAAGGTGGCACGAGATGTTCAAAGGAGAAAAAGAAAGAGACATTTATTTAGACATTTACAACGATCAAAGTCTTCTCTACCAAGCGGAATGTTAACTTTGTTATGTACAAATTTTTGTTAACCTCATGTAAATGCCACCACATCAAATAAGAACAACTAAGAATAAGTCGTTGCATGATAAGTTTTGTAAATTCTAACCAATAATGAACAGGAAATTTAAAAAAAAAAAAATGCTATAAATTTATTAATAACATTTTTCCCATTATCAATAAATTGTTATTTTGAGTAGTACTTAAGTTTATCATTTTAAGCAAATCTCAAGTTCAAGTCTTGTATGAAAAAACACATTAATAAGAATGAAGACTACATTAATCATAATATCCATATTTGATTTTCAAATAGAAATTAGTCATTAACAAAGTTAGATATATTTTCTCTAATTACATGGTAAAAAAAATATTTCTACTAATTAATCTCAAGCTCATACTTTTCGGCCATTAAAAAGATACAAAATCAACTAGTTAAAATTATTGCAACACTAAAAAAAATTACCAATGGACAAAACCTAAAATAATTTTAATTATTTATTGTTCAAACTTCTGAAAATAAAAACATTTTTTGTAATTAACAGTAAAAATAAAACAAAATACATTTTCTGAAATCAAACAGCTCCTCACCCAAAATTAATATCCAATTTAGTTGTCCAATTACAGTACCTATTGTACCGTTGAATATAAGTTGCTCAAATAATAGTCTATCTGACCTAAACTTTACTATCTTAATTTTGTTTCCATGTCTTCTATTAATATTGGAAGAGAAGTACAAACACCACTATGTAACACTCTCTCTAATAGACACCTTTCATTGTTGGCTAAAATTATTAAAAATTACAAAATCGTTGGTGAAGTTTTTCTCGTACGTTACAAAACCATCAGTAAAAATTACAAAAAGTATAATTTACAATATTTTATAATTTCTAGTAAATAATACAGATTACAGAGTATGTTAATAGCGCATTCTCGTATTGGGAAGGTCAAGTTATTTATCTATACGACCATGCAAACAAAACAAGCAATTCGCAACTACCATTTAGGAGACTAGGTGTCAAGATACCCAATCTAGGAATTCACATCGGCGGTAAAACACAAGCAAAAAGCAGGATAATTGCAGTGAATCAACAACCGCCCATGCTATTTTTCATGTATCAACTATAATTGCAAAAATGGGATCTGACGTTGCTTGATATCTATTTCATAAGCATGTTTCTTAATCTGAGAACTTCAAAATATCATTTACGCCAAAGCCAAAACGCAGAGGTGAGTGGTCCAAGTCAGTTTACTAGTGTTAAGAGGTTAGTCCTCGAGAGAAACATCTAGGTAGCTCAAAACCAAATAGTCCTATTAAGAATTTAAGATTATGCACAACATGTTTAGAAATTTTGCTGTTGATAACTAACACCTGACCTACATGTTAATTGAATGTAGCTTTCTCATCATCTGTTAAACAAAAATTCATCATGGCAGTTAAGATTGTTTAAAGTAAGTAATGTCAGTTAAAAGTATTAATACCCTCAAATAACTTGGGATTCGGATGTCAAATAGAAGATTTAGTTATGTACGGTGCAATAATTAACCATACATCGCACAATGCCCAGTGGAGACTGGTTTTATTTACACAAACACAGTCTTCAGAAGTTAATCGTGGCGTACACAGACTATATGCAGATATTCACAAGATATAATAAGAGAATTATATGAATAAACTTACCTCTGGGACATGTTCCAAGGCAGTATCAAATTACATCAATGTCATCAACGTTGAGCCAATCATTGGAATCCTTGGTCACAGAATTACGAGCACTTGAATGCTCAGAGCCAGCATGTTTGCTTTCAACAGAGTTTATATCCTTATCAGAGTTAGGCGAACTTCTGCCTAACTGAACCCAATCTCGAGAGTCTTTTGTTGAGGAGTCAGAACCCGATCTAGTTTTTTTATAACTTGCATGTACATCACCATCATCATCCTCAAGATCACTGAATGACACGTCCTCATCATTACCAGTTTCAACAGAAGTTCCACTGGGACCAACCATTTCAGAAGTATCCTCTTTCAACCAATCATCAGCATCATCCTCATCATCCAAAAATCTATTTGTTGAGCCAGATGATGATTGTTCCGCAGTTAGATTTACAGGTGCTTCTTTAACCACAGACTTGTCAATAACCTGTGTAACAGCACTTTGAGTGGGATGTTTCTCCGTCTCAACTTCAGACTCAACTACAGATGGGACTGCTTCAACTACATCAGACACAGCGACAGATGTCTGAAGAGGTGCTGAGTCAGGTTGAGCATTGCTTGGCACAAAGAGATGCTGTTCCTCCTCTTTCAAGGGAATATTGTCTCCCACAGATAAGTCAGTTTCTTTCTTTTCCTTACTTCTTTTGGCTAAAACATGGGTTAACATTGCTCTTGCTTCCATTATCTGCACACACAACATGAATTACTAGTAATACAGGCAGGCACGATAACAAATAATACCAAAAGTACCAGTTAGTCAACATCAAATGAGACAAGCCTGACAATGTTAGTGTGAAGCATGCTGGACACCTTTATGTTGATTGATACAGACGGATCACAAATAACTTAAGAATGGAATTTCATAACAAGATTTGATCATAAAACCAGAGTCACCCATGATTCTGTTATAATTTTCAACTATCACATTATAAGATTCAGATGCCAAGTTTACTCCAATAAAAATGCAAAACCTCAATTGACTTCAATCCTTAGTAGCGCATGAATAAAGTTATTACGATTAAAAAAAACACACACACAAAATAAGATTTAACTCACCTGCGGAGTGGACAAAATAACAGCATCACTTTTGCTGAGTCTAGGGTGCACGAGTACAAAATAAATCTTCCAAAAGCTACCATCGCTCATGTATCCGGGACACAGTTCCATTCTAAGAGCAGCCAAGCTCGGTGCCAGATGTTCAACAGCAAGAGCGTGTTCATGTTGCGCATCGGACAAATCAAAATCTAAGCCACAAAATTTCAGTGCTAGTGAAATATCAGGCAGAATAAAATACCATACAATATAATATACACACACTAACAGATAAAGAAGCTCGTTAGGGCAAACTGTTACGTAATTGTCTACGAAACACGAAATTAATCACCTCAAAATTACAATTGAACGGTAAATATAATTTGCATAATCGATAAGAGTGAGAAAATGAATATACCATCAGAATCGGCATCGTCGGGGAGAGGAAAGTCCAACCAAGTTTCTGGATGCAACGCAATGCTTCTGGCGAAGCCCACCACGTCCTCGGTAACTCCGACAACGCCGTCGAGATCGTATTCCTCGTCGGATCCGAGTTGAAGGAAACTCGAGGCGATCTTGGTGAATTCGGATACCGTCTTATTGCCAGAAATTTTGGAGATCCCGCTCTTGAACTTGCCGCTAATCTCGGCGAAATCGTTTCTGATTCCGGCGATGACGTCTTCTTCTTCGTCGGCAGGATTTTTGGGAACGGAGGCGGGACTCTCCGGTTGGGGATCGGGCGGCGGGGCGAGGAAGGAGGCAACGCCCCAGATTTGGCGGGAAAACGATTTGGTGAGCTCGGAGAAATCCTCTTTGACGCCGCGCGCGGTGGGGCTGGGAGTGGATGCGGCGGAATCGGGTTGAAGGGGTTCCGAATCGGGTTTGTTGGGAGGGGATTTTAGGTCAGCGCCATTGTCTTTATCGTCGTCGTCGTCGTCGAGTCTGAGTGAGTTTGCGATTGTCCTTGCAAACCACGACATGGTTGGTTCACCAGATTTCGATCGTCACTTCCTCCCAAGTGAAGACTCTTTCCTTAACCAGATAAGACCATTCTCTGCGACACCGTTTTAGCCTATACAAACAAACCACCGTATTGCATTACTATCTAGCTTTATTTCTAAATTATTTACTCTAATTTAGTAAATTGATTTTATCTTAAATTTTTTTTCTCTCCCAAATACAGTAAATTTATTTTTGTTCATCAATTTAAAATTATTATTTTTAATTCTTATATTTTTAATAATTTTATTTTAATCTCTCAAATTACTAATAACATATTTAAAAGTAAATAATTAAAACAGTTAAGTATTAATAAAAAAATCATTAATTATATTTTTTATAACAATATTTAATAAAAAAAAATTAACTAAATTTAACTATAAAAATTAATACAAAATATTTTAAAATTATACACTACAATAAATGTTACATATAGTGACATACAAAAAGTGTTATAGATATATATTTATTTAATATATAATTACACGCAATTTTAATGTTAATTTTGAATTAGATTTAACAATATATTTTGTGAATCACTATAGTCTATACCCATATTTTTTAATAATATATCAACATATATTATATTTATTGTGTTTGTAAAACTAATTTTTAGTGACATATATAATGTTACTATAATGTATGTGTCATTATATGATAAAATTTTTTATAATGATAAGATTAAAAAATAAATTTAAAATTTAAACAGATTAAAACTAAATTTATTTTAAATTTAGGAACTAAATTTATTTTAAATTTAGGAACTAAAATTATATTTAAGTGATTAATTTTTTAATTATTACAATAAAGTGTTTCCATTCATTTTTTTCTCAAGAAATCTTAACATGCCAAAATCGAAGGCTTTTAAAGTGTACACATTCTGTTTTATTTTATTTATTGTAAATTCTACGTAGTGTTTTTAATGATAACTTAACATGTTAAAATTAAAATTATGAGACAAAAGTTTTGTAAAATAATTTCTTTAAAAATACATTTTGGAGAAACAATTGTCTATGATTTATATATAACTTTTTCCTAATCTATGCAAAGCTTTAAAAAAAATAATAATAATAAAAATATATATAAAAAAACTTGTGTCTTTTTAGATAAGCATTTAAAGCTTTTTTTAACGAATATTTTCAATAATAAATTTCATCTTTGTAATAAATATAAATTTATATACTTTGATCTAAAAGAATGTAACCATATAGTGTATATTTGGACAAAAATTCAGTTCAACATAATTTACAATAACTTCAAAGCACAAGTCTTGTTATTTTTACTTTTCATGCATAAAAAAAACACGTGTATTACAAAGCTTTATAATATATAATCAAACACAATCATAATATCAATTAATAATATCAATCAAATGTTTTAAGTAGTTATCCATTTATGTAACCTTAAATGTCTTTAAAATATTTGTACATTTATTGATAATAACATGTTTATGTTTTATTGATCTCAGAGTACTTTAATCAAGATATTCTATCATAATTGAGAGAAGTAAGTGGTACACAAAAAAGTTTTCTAAGAACAATTCTAACAGAGGAATTGCTTGGATTGTTGCTTGTGAGTAAATAACGTAACTTACTAGAAATCTCTATTAGAATTGGTTGATGTAGCATAAAAGTTGGAAAAGATATTTTTGTTATTTACTGAAGCAACATTTCCTATTCTATGAAACTGCTTCGTGGAAATAGTCTATTAGACCAATATTACTAATGAGAACAAAAAGTGGAGGTGCTTATAAACAATTTACATTAAAGCAAAAATTATAAAAATGTAGTATAAGTTGCTTATGAATGATGTGGTACAATGAGATTTATTTAAAATGGACAATAATTATTTATAAATAACTCTCATTATAAATACTCTAATAAACAGGTTTTTACCAAATTAAAAAAAAGTATCTTTTAGGTATAAAAGAAACAATTTATTCTCTTGCATAATTTTAACGTGTAGATCCAACCATGCGTTGATTGTAATTCATAAAGGAAAAAATTAATCATCTAGTTTTTTAAATGAATCTCTCATTGTTGTCTATATAACGAAGTTTTTAAAAATAGAAAAAAGAACATTCACACATTTTCAACACTATGTATATTCTCTGTAAAATGTTTTTTTGTTGGACGATCCAACCGCACCTGTAATCCTTGTTTATCTTCTTAGTGTTGTAATTGTGCTTAAATTGTAAACACTCACTCTTATGAGTAAGTGAGTACCTTTTTATACTTTCTGTATAAGTAATTTCAATTACGAAACAAAATTATATCGAGTAAAGCTTAAAAAGGTCACGAAAAATACTTAGATTAAGTAGCCTTTAAGATAAATTTACAATGTTGTAGTTTAAAGAGACAACAAACACTTGTTTCTAACAAGGATTAATTGTTAAGTAAAATACATTTATTTTGAAAGAACTAACGTAGCTCTTATAAAAGTGCGAACTAGTTAACTGTATTCGTTGAAAGCTTTTTTCGCTATCCTTCTAACACATTTTACGATAAATCTTTCTTTTTATGCTATATTAGAACTATTTTTCGGGGAAAAAAATTAAAATATCACACACATAATTCGACTCTTGTTATGTGTTCACCATTACTTCACAATAAATCAATTTATTTTTTATTCAAAATCCAGTAATAAAAATATTTTATTTTATTTACTTTTTTTATATAAAAAAACCCATTTATATGTTAAAGTAGTACATAGACCATATTTTTTAAATTAATTTTAAAGTTAATAACATTTTAAAAATATATAATTTTAAAAGTTTGAAATTCAGTTTGTACACATTATGAGTCATGGTGAGATGATACAGAATAATTGAAGGTAGAAATTGTGTTGAAATACAGACTAAATTTCACATTCGAATGAAAAGAAAAAAAAAACGAGTTTGTGAACATAAACAAAAACTTTGATATTATTCTTTTAAGTGATAATAAAAATATATTAATATTAATTTAAATTTTAAATAAATAATATTATATCAATATATAAATGCGTGTGAATTTATGTTTCACAATAATAAAATCATATTCCTCTAAAAAGATATCTCGCTACAAAATACAAGTAAAAAAAAAACTTCGAATTCAAGTATCCTTGCACACCATTTGATTCATAATAGTAAAGTAAGTAGAAAAGAAATGTGAACTAAGTAAGTTTTTTTAAAATTTTAGAAAAAAAAAAGTTTTTTTTAAATGGTTTTAACTTCAGAAACTTAAATCAAAATTCTATTAAACCATACGAATTAATTTAACTTATTTTTATTTTTGAAGTCTTAACTTTACTCACAAGTTATAAAATATTTTTTAATTAATTGTTTGAGTTTTAAAACTTTTAAATAAAAATTTATATCAAATTAGTCTTAAATGAATAATTTTTTGAATAAAAATTTAAGAAGTTAAAGATTTTGTATAAGTAAAATGTTTATAATATTTTTTTAATTTTAATTGTATTTAATAATTTTCATATAGATAAATTTAATGAAACAAATTATAAGTATTGAATGAGTTAACAAATAATTTAAAATTATATTTTAAAATTAAAAAATTTTATTTTAAAAAAACTATATTGATATAAATTTAGTAGATAAATAATTAAAATTAACATTTTACGATATAAAATAACAAAATAAATATAAAAATTAATAAATAATTAATTAATTTAACGACTCGTCATGGTTCTTACATTTAGTGGAATCACACTAATTACACTAGTGAACTAAGATAAAATATTAAACTGGATAACTAAATACATATATATATATATATATATATATATATATATATATGTATATATATATAAGTAATAATAAACTATGTTTTTATGTACAAACTATAATACTATATATATATAGTCATCCAAAATAATAATATTCTCCTAGTGCCGGTCAAGTACAATCAAACAATTACCCAAGATGGTAACTCTAACACTATGAAAAAACTCCACATCCTATAGCGGTCACAACAACCAACTCTGACCTAAACCTAACCTGTTCCCATACACAATATGATCATCGCAGTCTATCCACATGAAAACAAAATAGTAAGCTAGAGTTTAATAATCAATCGTGTAAGCATAAGAATAAACATATATGCTACACCATCATCAAATCATCAATCATTCTCATAGAGTTACACCATACACTCTATCATACACCACTCATGCAGTAAATGCAACTTATGATAGATATCAATGCATATCAATCATCTAATGCATCGTCACGCATTCACCTATGAGATATCTCTAACAACATAGTAGTATAAGTGACATCTCATCCTATTGAAACCACCCCAACCATTTTCACGCCCAATGCACCTGCTTGGTCACATCAAACTGGGATATTAATCCCCACTCAAGTTTACTCGGATGATGTCACTTACTCACTTGGAAGTTCAATTCCATCATCAAGAATAACACAGCTGGGTATAGATTTACCACGACCTTGACATAAATTACCAAGTCACTTGTGAAATTTTCCCACCGGCTATCTACAAGGAACCACACACCTTCTCCAGTACTTGGTTAAGGGAATAACCCTCGACCTCATACCTCATTTCAACACTAGTTAAGGACTTAGAGGAGACTCACCCAAACTAGTAGTTTATCCAAGCACCACTCTCAAGAGACTTTATGTGAGCTCTTATAGTTCAAAAAAAAAATTTCTCTCCTCAAGTCCTAGGCTAGTCATATGTCATAAGGCATCACATGCAAACAATGCATCATACATCATACATGGTCAATCCACCACTATGATCAATATCATCCTCATATAAACATACATATACATATCATATCATGTTTAAACATTCATATATATCATTACCAAACATACATATGAATCAATAACCCATTTACATCATATATCATACATATATGAACCAATTGTACAACATAGTATCATACAACTTTTTAATCCACATGATAACACCTTAACAACTCAAAACAACATGTGTCTCCCTTTGACAACTATCAAAGAAGACAACACACAGAAAGTTATATTCATCCAAATATGCTAAAACCTATCTCAAAAGAAAGATGAAAGGATAATCTACCACTCTTATGAAGACATGAAATTCTAAATGAATCATCTACTTAGCTAAAAATGTCAAAAATCGCAATAGATATAATCAATGCTGACAACTTGACTCATGTTCACTAAAATAGTCATAACTACAATTCTAGACCTTCTTTTTAGGTGATTCAAATGTCATTAGAAAGAAAACATCAAAGGCTACAACTTTTATGAAGACATCAAAGTCTACTTCAAAAAGAATCAAACCGTTAAATGCCTCCCTAAGCACTCAACGCTTTGCTTCCAAGGATTTTCCCCTGTAACGCGGCCCCAAAGGGCTCAGCTTTTTAAAATGGCTCAGCCGTTTCAAAAGCGCTCATCCCTCTAAAATGGTTCAGCCCTTTGATTCCAGAAATCTTCCTCTGTCACACGGTCCCTAAAGGGTTCAACCCTTTAAAACGGCTCAATCGTTTGATGACAGAGGCACCATGTTCTTCACCATTTTTAGACCTTCACACTTGAAACTAAAAAAAAAAAACCACATGCAAAGGAAGAGATAACATCCATGCACAAAAAATAGTTCAATTCAAGTCCGAAAAATAACATGCACTCATCTGATGCACCAAATCAGCCAAAACCCCGTTTTAGCCTGAGAACCCAAAAAATGGGAAAATCCCTCAATCAGCAAATCAACCTCCAAATCATGCATCAATTGAGTTTCTAAACTCACATGCAACCAATCTATCACAATCGTAGCTTCCCTTACTTGAAAATTAGCTTAGAACAACCAAGAAGAGGGAGAAGAAGAAAAATTCATGAACGGTCGACTTGTAGACTTCAATCCGTCAAAATCAAACTTTCTAGCCTGAATTCAAATAAAAGATAAAAGAGATTAGTGATCTAGAAGAAAAGAGGAATCAAGCAGAGAATTTTGAGAGAAAAAGGAGCTCACGGATCCAAAGTCATTATCTCTAAAACTTCTCTTTAAATTTTCTTTGAGAATGAGCTTACGAGGTTTCGTTCTCAAATATATCCTTATTTCTAGAATTAACTAAACTCTAAACAATTAATTTATTACGTTACAATTAAAATGTAATTTTTTTATAAAGTGGGTGTACAATAAGTTAAACTAAATAATAAATAATTGTCACACATTAAAATTAATTTATTTTCTTTTTACTTTAAAAATAAAAATATGGGAAATTTATTTTAGAAAATTGAGAATAAAACTTGTAATCACGTAACAATTGTACATATATTTCTGCATGAAAGTTTGTTTTAACTCTAAAACAAAAATAGTTTTTCAACTTAGGAATACATTCTTTTGACTTTTCTATTTTTTATTTTTTACTTTCCAGTTTGTTTTATTTGTGCCACGTGTATCCGTATCATTGAAGCATTTAACTTCACATAGTACGTGTCGCATATCAAAACACACCTGTATATGATTAGCTAATGGATAACTACAACCATATATGAATTATATTCTCTCTTCCATCATGATTTTCGATTTTTTTTATTGAGTTCAACACCAATCACATGAATGCGCAGATTTCATGTAAAAAAAATGAATGAAATTGCTAGCATTTATTATTTGTAAAACAGTTATACTTTTATTGAATATTAAAAACTTTCATTTTACTAATATTTTCATCAATACCTGCACGTAACAACAAAAGGTGTAACGTAACTAGCACTCTTACTCTAGCCGCAGCCGGAGCTCAGAAAGGAACAAAGTGTAGACAAATGGTATTTACGCAAGACGAAATTAAATAATTAAGCATAAATAACTAAGAGAGATAATTATTTTTTTAAAAAAATATAACATAAAAGCTAAAGAACCCGTCGTGGTTCGAAGGTGTTCATGGTTCCTTGGGTCTGAGGGACGGAACACCAGTTATAAGAAGAAGACGGTGATGATAAATTCAATTCCAACAAACCCTTTCCTCCACCACCACTTTCCTCAGATTTCACTCCCAATGCTTCAGGTTGCGAGTACCAGTTAGTGGAGGATGCTGCTGCAATGTCACTGCGTGACAACATAGGCTGAACCTGAACCTGAACCTGATGAGGCTTGAACTCTGGTGCACCCGTAAGCTGCTGAACAAGGTCACGGAAGTTGATAGCGTCCACCTTGTACACTCTGATCGGTGACGGTGCCGGAGGCGCCACCGGCCCCTTCTTCCACGGTTTTGCTTGTGACTTGCGCACCGAATGAGACTTAGACGCGGGGTAAGAGCTAGAATAAGCTTCCATTATTTAGATGGCAATAAACTAAGTATGCAGACACGTTATTAGGTTGCTGAAATGCTCTTGTGGTTATGATAATTAAAATTTGATGTTTAGCGAGTAGTAGTACGTGGTTTGTGTGCTATTTTGAACTATTTATAGATTGTCGTGACTCGTGTGCAAATGGAGGGCATCAATGATGGTGCATGGAAGTTACAATGTCAATAAAAGGCAACGACTTAAAAATGGGGCAGCTCAGGATTCAGACCTCGTTTTTGTCTTCACTGTCGGCGGAATGTATTATTAATGTATCATGTAAGTAGTGACATATGCCAACTTATCACTGTGGTCAAACTAATGTGCTTGGATGGATCACCATGTATAAAATATTTCGCTTTATCAGCTATAATATGTATAAAATCATGTGTGTATTTTTTTTAAAAATTATGATGTTTGTATGAATCATGTGTGTATTTTTTTTGTTATATTTTAGTGTTAAAGTAATTATTATTTTTAAAGTTTTTAATTATTTTAAACTGAATTATTTGTCAGTAGAAAAATATTCATTTTTTTTATTTATATTCTTATTCATTGGTTTTCACTATTTTGTAAATCGAAAGCAATTATTAATAGAGTGAAAAGACAATTCGATTAACGATGTTATATTTTTTTAGAAATTAACTAATATCAGATGGCTTTCTTTTTATATCATTGGGCAAATTCTTTCACGGCAAGCTGTAACTATCTTGAAACAAACGGAGTCAGAATTTGACTAATTGACTGTATGAACTAATTAAGCAATTAGTTGCTGAGATTTGATTATATTGATTGTATTTTTTTATTCATCTTTTTTTAGATTGTATTTGAAGAATAAATTGGATTCATATTCTTTTATTATAAAAAAAACTAGCTATATTTTAGGTTAAAGTATAATTAATTTTAGTTCTTTATCTTTTAAATTATTTATTTTGATATTTATTTTTTATATTTAAATTAATATAGTTCTTTTAAAATAATTATCATTTTTACTTTTACAATATGATTTTAAATTAATTTTTAACCAATTTAAAATGTGAAACTGTAATATTATATTCACCTACATAAAAATTATTAGATGTAATTGATGTTTAAATCTGAAAGAGATATAAAATATAGTAAAAGTAATGCAAAAAATATATCTCATGAACAACTAAAAAATAATATGAAATTAGATATTTTAAATTTTTTTATTTTCACCATGTTTATAACATTATTGATCTGAACTTCAATTTCATTCAATATTTTTTTATATATTTAAATCTTATGAGACAAGTTTCAAATTGAATTTAAAAGGACTAAGTTGACAAAAATTTAGGAGATAAAAAATTAAAACAAATATTTTAAAATATAAAGGATCAAAATAAATTTTAAAAAAATAAAAAAAAATAAAAAATATAATTTAACCCAAATTTTAAGAATAATGTAATTTAATTATTTATAAATATTTTTCATGATAATATTAGTTGTAAATTTATAATAAACTATTAATTATAACTACATATGTATGCCTGTTAAAATGCTAACTATTGATAGACGATTTTAAATAATTATTCATGCCTTTTTGAAAACATACAAGATATAACTTATTTGTGTACATTTATAGATTTAAATTAAAAAATAGAAGTAAGAATATTTTAAATATTATATTAAAAATTATTTTAAAATTCTAATATGAGTACTCTTCCAAATCCCTCTAATATTGAAGAGAAAGCTAAAATTAAATGAGGAAAGATTTTTCTTTTTTTTTTCAACCATTCCCTTCTTCCCTTCTAAAAATTGAATCAAATTAAATAATAAAAGTTAACAAAAAAATTTCATCTTCTATTCATTCCTCTCCAACTAAACACTAGGTAATTTTTTATCTATAATATATTTTTATAAATATACGTTAATTTGAATTAATATATAATATATTCTCATGAATTTATGGTAATTTGAATTGATGTGATAAAATATTAAATAATATTTAAATGCTTAAAAATTTATTAGCTTGATGTATTTATTAAAAAAATTAATTTGAAGATTAAATTATTAAAGTTTAATATAGATTATGAAATTTCTTAGTAGAATAATTTTACCAATAATTATTCATAAAATAAATGGATCATTCTCCTCTATATATAAAAATTTTATAACTATCTACATCTTTTATATTGAGTTAAGTCTATTTTAGTGATAATGTGATGTTTTTAATTATGATTTTATGTTAAAATGAAATTTTGATTTAATTTTTAGTTTCTTTTAGAACAATTTAATTTAATTTATAGTTAAAAATAATAATTTCCATACACACTTGTATTATCAAATTTGGGTAAAAATAATTTATATATTTGTTATTTAATAGTAGAAATGATAAATAAATTCATTATATTGGTATTAGTAGTATTTGAATCTGTTTCAACTTTGACAAATAGTATTCAATATGATCAATTACAAGCATAAGTAATAGCTGATTGATTAAATCGAGAATGAGTACAAAGATAAATATATAATTACCCGTCTCATATCTGTCATCTTGTTCATTCCTTCTTTAATTTTAATTTTTTTTAAAAATTTACTTTATTTATGTAATTTTGACTTTTTTTAGATTTATATTAGATAAAATTTAATTAATATAATTTTATAATAATTATTTAATGTTAAAATTATTATTAGTTTTTATATTTTAAAAAAATATTTAATTAATTTTTAGATAATTACAAATACATTTGATACTAAAAGATGAAATAAAACAAAAAATTTATACTGAACAAATATAAAAACAGAAATAAATATAAAATATAAACTCAAACAGGAAGAAAGAAATATTAAAAGCCACACCCACCGCATCCATCTACCATCTTTGAGGGATTATGAGCGAAGAGTTTAGTCATGAGAAAAGAGATTATGAGGACATTTTGAAGAATATCCGCCTCTTAGTCAATCTAAACTCTTACTCAAAGACAAAGGGTTTTTGCGTTGCCATCTATTCTTTATGGTCCTGTAGCTAATCATATCTTCATTTCACCAAATTCCATAACTTTACCCAATAAACGGCGTCGCTTTTCTTTTGGAAAATCCCCTCCCCATTCCTTTCATATTTTGCTAAAATAACACTCCATTACAATTTACAACCCACCATTCCTTTTTCCTCCCCTATTATTAATTTTCCGCCATCAACACGCTACATGTTTTAACTGAGTTATATGTTGTTTCTTATTTTTTTTATTAACTTTGAAAATATTTACAATAATTTCAAAAATTAATTTAAAAAAATGAAAAACTGCTTTTATATATATTATTTGTTATTTATCAAAGCGAGGGTAAATAATTAGAAGATGGTCGAAATAAAAAGTTTGAACGCTTGCAAGAAATTAAATCACCTTCGAGTCAACTAGAATTAGCTTTAGCTCCGGGATGACCCACCCCTATTTGAATCAAACTCCATGTTTTCCGCTATCTTATTCATATTGTCAAGTAAATACACAAATTTCATGAATAAAATAGACTAATGAACAAGAGGAAAATTTGGAAGGAGAAAAATAAACTCAAATTCACGGATCACAACAGTGTTGTACAGAAACACAAGGATCACAATCTCTCTTAAGTCTTCACCCCGCAAGGTGTTGCTGCATGTGTCACGAAATTTGACACACATATCTTATCCCGTAAAGAATTTAAGTTGTTTCACACCCATATTAACAAGTAGTTCAGAGCTAATCAATTTGAAAAATGATTTCCGTAGTCCCTTGTTTCCTAGTTTCCTGCTTGAAAAAAGTTAGTCATGTGTGAATCAAGAGTGAGTTCAAAATCAGATTCAATTTTTAGCTATATTTATATGACAGAAAAGGATGAAATACAACAGAATGAATCAAAGTTTCATGATTTCAATTATTTAAAAAATAGTAAAATAGTATGAAACACGATGAAATGAATTTTAAGTTTTAACTTATTCCGTCCACGGTTTTTATCTTCTTTTAAATTCGGGATTATGTGATAGAAAAACTATTTTTTATTATTAATGAAATATCTAAACAATGAAATAGTAAATTGATATTTTTTTGTTGTTGTCCAATAGTAAATTGAGTTGGTTTTGCATTATATTCTACTATATATCTCATTTTATTTTTCTTAACTCTCCATATAAAGTTATCACAGATTTGTTGAATTTCATTAAAAAAAAGTCCAAATTAATTAATTAAATTCAAGTTGAGTTAACACATATTTTTTAACTAAGTTTACTTAAGTCAAATCGAATTCAATATAATAGATGTATTTATAAATAAGGCAACTAAGACTTTTTTTTAGGAGTTTATTTTATTTTTTACACTACTAGAAAAATATCATTTTCACGAATTTTCCTAAAAAAAATATTCGCATAAATTTTTTGTAAATTTTCTTGCAATAATAATTTCACAAAAAAATTTTACGAATTTATTTGCGAAACATAATTTATTAATATTTTTTACAAATTTTTTTATGAAAAATAATTTACAAATTTTTTTTACAAATTTTGCTATAATTTTAATGATCATAAAAAAAATTTCTATGGTAAAAATTTGACGAAAATATTGTAAGAATTTTATTTTGTTTCTTGTAGATTTTCTTGCAAAAATAAATTCGCAAGTAATGTTTATTAAATGGTAAAAAAAAATTTGCAGGTAACTTTTCCTGCCAATTTTAATCCGCAGGAAAAATAAAAAATATTTAAATTTATGTTTAATATTTTAAAAAAAACTTCAAGTCCCACGTCGATTGAAAATAAAATAATTAAAGAGTATATAAGTTGGGACAACACTTACCTTACAAGTTGATTTGTATGGTTAAGTATTAGACTTATAATCTATAATCTTAAAATTTAAAAGATTATGTATCACATGTTGAAGGCGTAGAAACAAATGCTTTAGATGAATTTATTGTAAGCATTTGAAAGTTGAAGAATTATTGATAAAATTTATAGTAAAAATATATTATCCACAAAGATATTACCTGCAGATAAAATTTTGCAAAAAAAATTGTAGGAACAACATTTTCTTCAAATTTTTCATAAAAATTTATAAAATAAAAAATCACATGTAATAAGAGAAATTCTAGTAGTATTATGAGTGGTCCAAAATATAATAAATATATTTATAAATTATAAAAAGGATGTAATTATCATTATATTTGTCCTGCAAGATTGGTATTATTAATTGATTAAGTTCTTTTGTGCAAATTATTTATAATTTTGGATAGAATTTGATTTTCCTCATATTTATATCTTTCTCTACAAACTTATATCAGACATAAATTAGATAATTTATAATTTCATTAAAATTATTTTTTTTAAAAATAATAGTCGATTATAATCTTGAATGAGTTGGTATCTTATTATAATCTAGAGTTTTTGATTACCAAAAATTATGGTCGCATTTTTTTAAAATAATCCCTACATGCATGTTTGTAAAGTCATAAGGGGCAGGGTCATGCACAGTTAATAATGGTAGATAATCAAAACACGAGTAAATAAAACATGTTGTGAAGTGGATGAGAAGGAAGGGTTTCCATTTGTAGGGAACAGTACTTGTATTTAACATCTTTCTGTATTAAGATGAATAAAGTGAGATGGAGGAATATGATAAGTCAATGTTTATGTGCTTAATGTTGGGGTTATTCTTTGCTTCTTTCTCATCATCCTCAACTCAAGTGACGAGTCAACAACACGAGGCAATGAAACCCAACTATTTTCACGTGTGCCATTTGCGCAGACATCATGCTTTGACTTTGGACTTTTACCTCCAGATCCTACCATTTTTTTTATTTATTCTAGTTCTAATTTATTAAAATTACATTTTGCTTTAAATATTTTTTGGGCTCGTTAAAAACGGCTTTTCATAAAATAAATAAATTTTCACGTGTTTTTCTAATTTGTTTTTTAAAAACAATTTTCTGTTTACTTTTAAGAAGCAATTTTTTTTATCTGTTTTCTTTTAAATACTTTTTATAAATAAATAAAAAATTAAACAAAGGGAGCCATCATTTTGTAACTTTCTTCTAACCTTTTAGCACTTCTATTAAGTAAAATAAGTAATATAAATAAAACATAACTTATATATAATAAAATTAAAAATATTCAATAATTTTTTTGGTGTACTTTATTTTTCTGGTGTACATATTCAATAACCCTTAATCCTTATATATATAACCTAAAAATAATAAAATTTTAAGTTATTTAGTGTTTATTTGAATATATTTATTTATTAATACTTTTAAGAAGAAAAAAAATGAGTATAAAAAAATAAACTTTTTCCATAAGGCATAAGTTAATTTATATATAAAAAAATCATATTTATTTTTTCAAATTCTTATTTTTAATTTATACATAAGTAATGAAGAATCTATGAATTTTAATTAGTGAGAAAATACTCACATATATAAATTAGTGAAAAAAATATTTATAATATATATTTTTTAATATATTATAAATTATAGAACCAGTGATGGATCTATACATAGAGGAGTGGGCTGAATTTTTACTCTTTCTTAACATTATATATACTATATTTTATAGTATATTATATTTTAATTGTTGTTAATATATCATGATATGTTATAATGTATTGATATTTTATTTATATTTTATTTTACAGAGTATGCACTACATTAAAATTAATTTTTTGTGGCAATTAATTTATTATTTAATGGTCATATAAATGAGTAAAATGACCATTGTTTTTTTTACCAGCATTTAAATAAAGGCTGGTGTATCTAATGTCGCTAATACTATTACCGGTATTTATATAAAATGCTGGTAAAAATCTACTAAATTGTCGAAAAAACATATTTTTTTTAGTGACAATTCTAGTAGCCATTTTAAAGACTAATAAAAGTTATTTTTTTTAATTGTCTCCTTTACTTAAATAATTTATTCCTATAATTTCTTTTTCTAAATTCATAACTAATGTACTTTTTTTTATCTATACTCAATGTGTGATTTGTAAGATGAGGGTTGTTTTTTATTTATATATATTTTAATTTATTTTTTTTTAATTATCTTGTCTCTTAAGAAATGTGAGATTTATAATGTGAAAGTTGCTCTCTAATTATTTTATAACATTATTAAATTTGATAATAATGAGTGATTTAATATCGATTTAGAATACTGAATTAGGAGTCAATCCTATAAAATAAACGTGTAAGGTGATAGTTATTACTTACTTATATACTATTTAATTATTTTATCTCTAATCGATGTGGGACTTAAGTTTTTTCTAATAAATAATTGTTACTAATAGTAAACTTTAGTGTAATATAAATATATTTTTAGTGGTTATTATATATTAGTCATTAATATTTTTACATATGGCAACAATTAAATTATTACTATTAAATAATTATCGTTAATAATAAATTTTATTGTAGTGATGATTGTTCTCACTGACAAAATTACTTTTACTTTTTTATTATTATGATATGTATAGTATTTTCTACCAAAAAAATCTGTCTCTTATACTCATTAATTGAAAATGTCATAATTTAATTTATTAAATTATGTTATTTTTAATTTGATTTTGATTTCTAAATCCTTTTAACTTGAATGGTATGGTGTGTCCGTCTGTGTTGACAAGGTGGATTCACGTTGAGAGAATTTGTATAATTGTATCTATAATTTTTTTACTTAAAAATATTTAATAAGAAAAAGTTTGCTTCCAAAAATAACGTATATCCCCATAAAATATTTTTTAAGAAAATGAACTTAAAATTTTAGAAGAGATAAAAAAGAAAACAAACTACTACTAATTATTTGTATTCTTTTAACTTTTTCTATTTTTTTCTATAATATTAAATAAATAGTACAAATTCACACTTTCGTACAATCTAAATAAACAGAAAAAAAAAGGAAAAATTGTTATTCTATTCACAAGACAATTGTAGTTTATATAAAAAAATAATAATAATAATTCATCAAAAAATATATTTTTTATCAAAAATTATTATGTTTTTATTTTATATAAATATTATAAAATATATTTATTGTCTCCACTAAACATATTTTTTAGATTCGTCATTATATAGAACAATTTATATATATTATATTAAGAAAAATAAAAATTCTTGTGGGGGCAAATTCCTCCAAACCCTCTAATGTAGAACCGTTATATGTATAAGTTAGTTTTACCTTTAAGATATTTTGTTTATTTTTTTTTATTTTATTCTCTTATGATTATTTATGAAAAATATTATCCAACCATTGTTGTTTTTCATATAGCCATGCGACGGTGACTAATGAGCTTGCCTCTTCTTTTGTCCAAAAATTTCTAAGCAGACATATGCTGTGTCTTTTTCGGCCCATGGTACAACAAAATTCCACGAGAGCCCAGAGAAAGGATGAAAAGTAGAAAACTAAGGCCCAAAAGTAATAAATGTTATATTTGTTTAAAAATGAATGAATTTAACATACAAAAGACACTAAATCTTTCTGTAAATTATTTTTATAAATAATAAATAAAAAAATATATAAAAATGAATGATTATTAAAAATACAAGTAATTATAGAAAGAAATTTACAGATACGAATAAAAACTTTGAAATTTATAAAATAAAATTATAAGAGAAAAATTGTCTAAAAATATAAATATGAAATGAGACAATTCCTTTTATTAATAGTATAGATATACATATGTACATGAAAATCTTTGGAGGAGCTAAATTGTCATAGTTATTCTTGACATTCCTCAAACTTTTTCAAGGTTTCTAATAGAAAAGAAAATTTCTAAAAAAGTTTGAATCATTAAGTTGGTTAAAATTCTTTTTAAGAATTCTCTCTTTCAAAAGTTTAAATCTCTATTTAATTTACTTATAATTCACTTATTTTCCTCCTAAAAGTGTGAAGAAATTTGAAATAATTTATCTTTTTCGTTGAACTGGCACCACTTGAAGAAAATATTTCACCACTAAAATTTCTTTATACATGTCATTCAATCAATTTATCTTATATTTTTATATTTGTAAAAATAAGTTTTGTTTATATTTTCATATGTATTATATATTAATATTAATATTATAATATTTATTAGATATAATTATTCTATAAAATTTTAATTATATATGTTGTTCATATTATTTAATAATTTTAATTGAAAAATATCTATTAAATAAGATGAATGTTTAGTATGATTAAGTTTTGGTTGCTATATTTTAAGTTATATATTTACACATTTTTTATTTCATTTATTATAAGAGGAAATTATTCAAATAATATTAAATATAATATAGGATGGAAAAAGTGAATATTTACAAAATAAAATATTATTCTTATTGAGATATGAAAAGTAATTTTGATAATAAATTTTATAAAAAAAATATCTAATTTTTTTATTATTAAAAATAGTCAAATCAAACATATTTTTTAAATTTTAAAATAAAAAGTATTTTTTGAAAATTAAAATAAAAAATAGAAAATAGAAAATGTTTTCTAAAGCAAACACACCCTAAAATTTTGAATCCAGTGACAAAATAAAGTGTGATCCCAATTCCCAACAACTCCGAAACCTTTTTTAGGCACCCCTTCCCAGGAAACAAATATTTGAACTAACGTGGATGCATCCATTCTCGTTTGGTTCTCTAATCGACGTATCGGTTTGGTTTCATGAACACGGATGACAGAAAACGCAGATTCAATGAAGGCATCGTTAATATGCTCTATCCCTCTCCTCCACCACTACCAGTATGTATATATATCTCTTCTTACTTCATATTTTTTCTTCAATTCCATGCTTAGGTTATTCTTTTTATCCTCTAGCACCAACAAGATCAATTCCAACCTCAGGAACCTTTCACTGACGACTCTCGTTCTGACGTTATTTCGGGTACCATTTTGGTCTGCAAGCACCATATACTTTAACAATCACACATGTTCAAACATTTCTTTTATTGCCATTTTGAAAATGTAGGCACTTTGGATGGCTACGACGATGCCTCCACGAGCGGTGATTCCGAGACGGAGAAGCTCACCAGGGCTCAACGAAAGAAAATTCGCAAGAAGAAGCTCAAGGAGGAAACCACTCATCGCGGAAAACTTATTGGGCCGCTGTTGCCTCTCAGGCCCACCCAAGCTGGACAGGACGCTCCACCTGTTCGATCAAATGCCTCTGAGGAAGGTTCTCATACTAAACAACACTTTGACTTACCCTTTATGAATGTGTTGTTGTTATTTATCTAAAACTAGTATATAGACACGTTATGTTGTCTCTGACGTTTATTCAACACAACTTGGTTTAGGTGCTAAATCAGTGAAAGTGAAGAACCGGAGAATGGCAAAAAGGCTCGCCAAAGAAAAGCCAAGTGACTCTACTTCGGAGAACACCAATCAAAGTTCCGCCCCTTTATAATTAAGTATGCGTTTGGGTTGCTGACAACAATAATAAAATATAGTATGCTATTTGTACATGTATAAGGATACATCAATGATCTTCTTGTATTCTGAAGGCCGAACGAGTGTTCTGAACGAGTATTCCGATCCAACGTGAGTAGACGGGTTTGTACCTGCAAAAGGCACTCCGATGCTCAAGTCAGCACAAGCACGGAAATCTAGAGTAATTAATGAACAATGACGTTACCTTTTGACCTGAGCTATTTATACTGACAATCGTGGGCCCTGGACCTTATGGGCCCTGTAACATACTTACCGTATTAGATAATACTTCTTAATCAGCTAATTAACCCTTAATCCTTTATTAAAGATAATTAATAAAGATAAGCCGATCTAGGTGACCGATTGGCAATCGGCCACCTGGTTCGGCCATTCGGCGGCCGATAAGAGGGTGGCTCAACGCCCCTACCCGTACACTATTTATTAGAGTACTACTGTTCAGTGTTCAGTTAAGCTCGTAAATGTAATCCACTGATTAAAACAATTCTTTTGTTAGCAGCTCTAGAATTTTTTTGCTTAATTTTGGCTCTGGCTGCAAGTTGAAATTGAGACTATCATTAATCTTATGCATGTAATTGTCGGTTTCTGCTTATTTCATTTATTTTTCCCTCAATGACGAGTGGAATATGGAAAAGAAAAAGTACTATACGCATTTGATGGGTTTGCACTTGGCTGTGTTTTTCACCACTTGCTTCTAGGGGGTCAAAAAATAAATCTAATTAGGTTTCAATCCATAGCAAAAATTTAGTTGAAAATTTTAACCTTACCCATTAAGTTTAATGGGTTAAACGATTCAACCCATGTCACCATCTGTATCTGCTGCAACAATTAGTATAGAACCACCTCACGCCGCAAATTAATTATTGCCGTTATGTATATTCTACCTGTTGTAAATTTGGGGAGCTAGTAGTAATACCCTTCAACATGAATGAAAAAAAACTGACTGGGACCAAGTAATGCTCATAAAGGAAATGTGGGATGCACGTCACGTGTCCACAAAATTTATTCGGCCATTATATCTGGATCTTGGGTACACAAACATTTGTCATAGCAACCTCATAAAGGTTTACACTTTACACTGCTATGCCACTATTACTTCTATATATATAGCAGGAGATGAAAGGGGAGAAAAAACCAAAAACAAAGGGTAGATGTAACTGGAGTGGCCCAACTGCGTGAGGTAAGCCTCACTGGTGGTATCTTTTATACTGTTATTGTAGTAAATAAGTATTCACATGGTATAGTACGCTACTATGGGATTGGGAGCGTGACCCCACAATCACGATGATAATACAGGTCGATGAAAGTTCTGGACGCATGCACATGCTTCATCTATCCATCTTAATTAATGGGCCGCGGTAAAATCTATCCAAGCTCAGTGGGTCCAAACACTGCAGCTCCAAAATAATGCATTTATTAGATCCACGAGAAAATGTTTCCGCAACAAACAACATATAAGGAATGGTTAGAATCTTGGCAGCATGTAATGTTAATATTTTATTTTTTGCAATTTTCTTGCACACTTTAAAATAAAAATGAAGGGTTATTCAAAATCAGCTGATAAAAAATATAATTGCACGCGCTGAGATATGCAAATTATTTGTAACAAGTTAGCCTGCCATATGGAAAGTGCTCTTTTAGCCAGTGCCATGTTTTGTCAGAACCAATATTACAGGAAATAATAATAAACAAGCTTGGGTAGATTGACTTTCGTAGATTCATATAATTTAAAGATCATGGATTCATGGTGGTTGAGCGACAATCGACAACGTAACTGTGCACCCTACCCGTATATTGTTATAATATAAGGTATCCTTTCATCCGATTGCCCCGAAGCATGTAATGCCGAAATCTTGTCAGTGTGCACAAACCACACTTCCTTCATCTGTTCAGCGGTTGCTGTTGGTCTTTTTGACATTTCCACCCCTCTTTAGCTAACATTGTAAAGGTGAACGTTTACATCATAGCGAGACCTCCTTAGGGCACAACTTATCCAAAACTTTTGTACACTTTTTAAGGCAAAGCTTTGGTTCAGGGATTCCAATTAGCGCCAAGATTACTTTATTTCAAAATACAATTAATTCAACTCAATCCTGTTTATGATAATAATGGAAAAGTCAGCTGGCTAAATAATGATAGCAAAGACTAGTATCTTTCCGAGAAATGTTAATTTCAATTACAGAATGTACTAACATTTTTATTGTTGAGATGAAATAACAACTTTTATTAGAAAATAATACTAACAATAATTATACATATCTTCATGCTTCCAAAAATATTATTTTAATGTTTGTTTCAATAGTTACCAAAAATTACTAAATAAAAATAAATAATTTGAATACATTAGAATATAATTGTTTAAATATTTTATCTTTCAAATTTAATGATTTTAATATAAAGTATATTACATTATCAGTCAAAATTAGAATGATGTGATAATAGGGTTTAAACCGAATATCTTATACATACTACTCAAATCTTCTATATATCTTGCGGTATAGGAATAATGATGGATTCATTTTGAAGCTGGAAGTCCGGAATTACGCAAAGCATGTTGTAGTTTTCCAAGGCATGCAGCAAGATTAAAAAAAAAAGCAGTGAGGTGGACAGATTTAGCGAAGAATGGGAGACAAAGCACCCATCAAGATAATGCTTTTGGGGATTCGGGAAGAATGAAATTATGCCTTCCATTAACTAAAAAAATCTCATTAACGACAAAACCCTTGAGCAAAGAGAGAGGAAGGTGCCAGAAAAAGAGAAACCTTAAACTGAAATAAAATATAATATTATAAACAAACAAGTGGTTGAGTTGAGAGTTACAGCATATGTGGAGATTGGTCAACATCAACAAGTTTACCTGAACTAAGGAGGGGGATAATGAAAAGGAAGAGGTGAAACGGCGTGATCGAGTAGATCCGGGTGCACGTAACCATATTTGCGCATGACTTGATTATCAGCGAAATTGAAAGCCTTTTGCATTCCGTTCCAGCAATCCTGAGCGGAATACATGGCATTGTATTTGCCGCTACAGGGTTGGCAGCCAGTGAAGTGCGTGATGAAGGGCCTCCTCCAACTCCCTTTGCCGAACCCAGCGTCCTTCAAATACTCCTCCCGCATCTCAGCATACCCTTCGCTCACCTTCTCCGCGTGACGCCTCCTTAACCTGCGCACACCCTTTTCGATTTCCTCGTACTTGGCGCTTATGTTAGGGAACGTTCCCAGAATCTCCTCCCAGTACCCCTCGAAATAGTACTCGCTCTCCAGATAAATCCTGTCCGCCCATTTCTCCTTCTCGATGGCGATCAGATACGCCAGGCCCGTCTGATCGTCTGACTCCGGGAAGAACTTGTCTTTGAAAGTCGACCGCAGCGTCTCGCCCCACTTGTCGTAGTTGGGAGTCTGTGGGCCCATGCTGGCCCAGGAGTCCATGAAGTCCAACGACCACTGGCAGTTTCTAATTAAAAAGACGCCGGCGTTGAGGCCCGTCCAGCTTCTCTTGTCGTGTATGAGGTGGGCCCACCCGTGAACCACCAGGTTGTGTTGCTTGTAACGGCTAAGAGGGAGCTTGAAGTCCATGTCGGTGAACAAGGCGTCGGAGTCCACCCACCAGATCCACTCGGCCTCGGGGTGGGCCATCATGGCGGCCCGCACCACGGGGTACTTGGCCCAATACGCCAACATCTTGGGCTGCAGGAGTGCGTTGTTGTAGAAAATATCGTACCCGTGGAGTCTGCAGTAGTCCACCTTGTTCTTGAAGAATCTTAAGAGAAGGTGGTCGCCGATAGGGTTCCGGCACGGCGCCGGCTGAGACCCTGTCACCATCACAATCCTCTCCGGCGCTCCGGCGGCCAACGAGGGGTGAAGCTTTAACCAGTCCTGGCGCTTCTCGTCCCAGTTGCGGACTTTGTTGTCCATGGTGTAACCCACTTTGGGGTCGTCGTAGAAGGTAGGGTCGGGAGGGTCGAATTGGGTTGAAACGGCGTCGTTTAGGGTTTGGAAATTGGGGGGGTCGTTGGCGATGGGGGTGGTGAAGGAGGAGAGGCCCCACACGAGGATGAGAGCGGAGAATGCTCCTGCGAGGAAGAGGAAACCGTCGGAGAGGAAAAGGGAGGAGCTTTTGTTTCTGTGCTTCGAATTCGCCATGGGAGAGTTGTTGTGGGTGAGATTAGAGAGTTCAGATGATACCATTTTAAACGGTGGAGCCTTTATTTTCTCGTGTCGGTTGTCGTCCGATTCTGCACTATTTTCGCCCCTTAAACGCAGAAAAGGGAAGAGTCATGCGCTAACTTGTATGCATCTAAAATGCCCTAGATTCTGACATTGGAAACGCTGATACGCATTGTCGTTTATATGAAAAGAGTGTGCGCGCCATCTACGACATGGAAACTCTTTATTTGGGGGCTTCGGTTGGGTGGGGTTTTTATAATACGTAACGGGGTTTAATTAAAAAAAACATTTTATTAATTGTTTAATCGTTAATTCCCAGAATGTTTTTATTATTTTTATTTAATGTTGAGTTGAGCATTCATTTTGTTATTCTGTCTTTTCAATAAAAAGAATCAGAAAATTGGGTTTGTAATTACTAGTGTTTGATGGAAGCATGGAGATTGGTGGATGAAGAAGAAAAGATGTGCATGGGATGGGAAAGTTTGAAATGATGGACTACTAAGCTACCAATTTGCCTCACTTTATCCATTTATGTCGTGATTGAAGCTGCTGACTTGACTTCAAAGGAGACCTGACAGTGCCACCGACTCATGTAAAATCCCAAAATTCAATTAACTAAACACTAACTCATTTACATTATAGCAGCAGCACCAACAGTAATTTTAATATAAACAAAATTGTTATTAATATATGCTTGCTCATTTTATTCAAAGATATATATCCCACTGATTATAGAGTCATGATATAAATTTGAAATCACCGATTAAGTTAAAATAATATATTATGAATTAATTTATGTATTGATACTTGATAGAGTAATGTATGTTGTTGGTCTTTTTAGCGTAAGTAGATAGAGTAATTTGTCTTAATAAATAAGTGGCTAACCGTAAGTACGTCCGCAGTTGATATTAATTCCATATTTCCATTAAAAGGGAATTAGTAACAAGGTAGGTACGTACGTTTACTTTCTTTAATGTAGCAATTCACGTGGCTTTCATGCTATTATAGACACGTGGAATGTGACCACAGTTGGCCACGCCAAACCCTTCAACGCCATTTTTAACTTTCACTGTCCCACTATATCCCTACCCTTAAATTTATCAATTCTCAAACAAAACTTGTGAGATTATATATTGTACCGTCCAGGTTAAAACACGATTGACCTCTACTCGGTTAACATCCGATTAAGTTATCAGGCTACAAGTCCTCTCGTCTTATCGGCTCAGGACTGGAAGGCTAGTGTACTGTCCCGGTTAGAATCCGACTTGATCCTCGTCTTGGCTGAGAACCACTCGGCCTAAAACCGAGTTAGCATCTCTATGCGAGCCGATTTACTCCTACATCGACTCCACTCGCTTATGAGAGGGTAACTCGGCGCGTACTCGACTAGATCCTTGGTGTACCAGCCGACTCGGCCCTAACTCGGATCCACTCGCTTATAAGGAGGAACTCGACTTTTACCCGAGTGGGCTCAAGGCTCAGGCCTAGTCGGTTAAAGACCGACTAGATTAATCCTCACGCATTGCGCGGACACTTGGCAACAACGGTTGAAGAAATCCCTACGTCCTCGGGGCCCATGAGGCCCATAGGCGACGAAGTATAAAACCTAAAACCCTAAGTTTAGGCATGCAGATTACACTTTTGAATGCTCTGGCTCTAAGGCACGATATAGGAAAAAACCCTAGTCCACCCTTTGGCCGGAACATATATATATATATCCTACCTTTTCATAGTTGATCCCACGAACTAGCTAGCCTGTTTCGCCACTATTATACTTTGATGAAAGGAAAACTAATCTAGTTACACAATATTTTGTTAAAGCCATTTCGAGTTAACGTTCGTGGTTAAAAAAAATATGAGTCGTCTATGTCTTGATGGTTGTAGTAACATTTGCTATTACAATAATTTCTGTAAAAAAAAATTTTCTATTTTTTTTAATTACATAAATTATTTTATTATTATTTTGATTCTATCTGATATTTCCTTTTGTAATGTAATTTTTAAAAACAAATATTACATAAATATAATTTGTCATTATAAAATTTCCAAATCTCTCATCCTTCTGTGATTGCATTCATAATTAGATTCCTCCGGAATTTCTTCTAAGACTTAACTTTAACAAGACAATAATGATTTTTATATAAAAAGGATGGAACTAGTGCCCAAAAAGGTGCAAAAAGTAATAAAGCAGTCAGGAAAACTAATGTGAAGGGCAATCAATTCATATATGTGGACGATGCATGCCATAGAAGGAATGGACAATAGTCAAGAAATTACTATTTTCATACAAAAAGAAACGACCAAATAAAAGTGAAAGTGCACATATATAGACCTCCGGCTCTACGCCTTGTTTAAGGGGTAATCGTCCACCACTCGTGATTAAGAGGGCTATTTTTCTAAAATTATATAATTCCCTATAATTTTTATATTATTTTTAAAAATAAATTAAAACTATTACTTACATATATTTTTATATTTACATATAAAATAATACGATTGAATATCTTATTATCTTTATTATTAATTATTTTTATATATTACATTTATAAAAAGATAAAGTATTATTTTTATTTCTCTAAAAATTTTAGATTTAATTATAGTTTCTCAATTTATTTTTTATCTCATTTTTATCTTTTTAATTTGAAGATACTTTACTTTTAATCCTTAGAGTTATTATATAATATTTTACAATAAGGGATAGCAATTGAATAAAAAATAAAATATATATCTTAAAGTTGTTAATATTATTATTTGTTTAGTAACCATACATGTTATTTTCAATTAAAAGTTTAATGTATTATTTGATTTATGAATTTTTTATAAAATTTAATTAAGTCTTTAAAAAAAATTAAAAAAAATTTTTAATCAAATCATTTATTTTTTTATTTTTATTTTATATTTTGTAATTTAATCCTTAGAACTAAAATTTATTTATATTTAATGAAATATGACATTTTTTTTATATTCGCAAAGTTATCCGGATTATTATTTCATATATCAACGAATTTTAATTTATTTATAACTTTTTCACAATCTCTTTAATTATAACAATTATAAAATAAAAAATTTTAACTAGTAGAATTTAAGACTTAATACATATAATTATGGCATTAAATAATAATTTAATATTATATCAAATTAAATACACAAATTACAAAAAAATCTCTAAAATTAACTTATAAAAGGATTAAAGATCAAATCATAAACTTTTTAGTTTAAGACCTAATTAAAAATTCTCAAATAAATTTATAAATTAAATGATATATTAAGCTTTAATTAAATCATTATCTATTTTTATATTATAAATAGTTATATGTTAAATTATTATATATAAAAGTTCTTATTTATTATTATTATTTTGTTGAAGATCCATAAAATGCCGGGACATGTTTTACATATGTATGTACAAGAATGGATCCATGTCTATGACAGTGGAAGCAATTGCTTCCACTAAAATTTTACTCCTTTTTATTTATATATATTATTTATTTTTTATATTATATTATATTTTAATTTATTATAAAAAATTTGTTAAATAATAACACATAGAAATATAATACTTGTTATTAAAAACTATTTTTACATATACTATATATATAATATAGGTTGATATATTATTAAAAAGTGTAAATATAAAATATAATAACACTATATGTATGTGATTATATAATATTTTTTGTAATGATTGTTTTTATATTTAATATGTTAAAATATATTAATATTTCATTTGTATTTTATTTTATTGTGTAATTTTTTGTATTTTATGATGAAACTGGCTTAATTTTTTTTATTATTATAATATATTTTATTTTTGAATGAAATATTTATTACTTATTTTTTTTATTAAAGATGTCATAATTTAGTTTACAAATATAAGTTACTTTCAATCTTTATTTTAGTTTTTAATCATTTTAATTTTGTATATGTACATTATATATTGGTAGGAGAGAATCTAAATTAAGAGGAAAGAGAGTAATTGTCACACAAATTTTTTATTTTTTTTACTTAAATATATTTAATAAAAATAAATTTACTCTTATAAAAAAATAGGCGTTGTTCTCATAAAATATTTTTATTTTAAATGAATGTAGAAATTTAAAAGAGAAATAAAAGAAACAAATAGTAATTATATTATTTTTATCTTAATAATTTATATCATATTATTTTTTTAAAATTAAATAAATCATTAAAAATTATAACATCACAACTAAATATAATATTACATTAAAAAAAGAGAGAAATTATTACTCTATTTATGAAAAATTTTAATTTATAAAAAAATAAATATATTAAATGTCTATAAAAAATACATATACTTTTAAAAATTATTATATTTTTAATAAAAAAATATTATAAAATATTTTATTATCCCCGTTTACGGATCTCTCGTAGTGTATATATCTGTGAAATCACCGCCTTAGACTTAAAGTGCATAAATACACAAACCAATTTCTTGATTAAATATATGAAGCATCGATTTAATGTTATCAAATTTGATTCTTATATGTATTCAAATAATATTTAAATAATGAAAGTCATGTCTTCCGGTAACAAATTAATCTTATGATTTTTGAAACATTTTCTTAGATCTTCTCCGTGAAGAAAAATCGCATAAATAGACATCTGGTTTTCAGTAATGTTCAAAAGCCGAAACGGTAATCTGGTTGCGTTGAATCTGAGGGACACATGCATTTCATTTTCTTTTAAAGAAAAAGAACGAACCTACGTGGTCCTTCATAGCCAATATTTTTGACACATAACACTTTATAGGGCGACGAAATGATTCTTGTGCATAAGTATTGCCTCCAATTATGCACTAATTAAAGGCCCTTTTATGCACTTTCAAGGACCCCAAAACCCAATTAAGATGCGCCTGAAAAGGACAAAATAATTTGTGCTATTCTCTAATGAATTCTGTCCATGTCAAAATTGCATAAATGAAAAAACGGGCCATATTCAATTTAAATAACTTTTTTTTTGGTTTCTAGAAATAATTATAAAAAAATAAAATAGTACCATACTTTCATTTTTGCATTTTATTTTGGTTTTCGTTCTTTTTAATCAAGGCAATTAGTACTTTAGAAGATATAAAGTATGAATGTAGTAATTAATTAAAAAAGTCACCAAATTAGTGGTTATATTTGTGATTTGATTTTATATTTTTCTTATCATTTTCTAAAGTTTTATCTCTAATTTGTAATTTCTTCTTTTATGAAAAAAGGTATTCTTGAGAATACAAATATCTCCTATATAGTCTTATCCTTTTCAAGTCACAATTTTTTTTTTATATTACTATTATTTAATAAAGGTATTGTTATTTACATCTATAATTTATATTTTAGTTTTCATCTATGCAGAAATTACTTGTATATACAATATATATAAAAAAGTTATTACTATGATTTTGTATTTTAGTTTCTATGTCTGACTAAGTTAGAAATCAGGATAAAGTAAAGACAAATTCTTAATTCCAGTTCACAGATGAAAACTGTTTACATTATATTAACAACATTTTAGTGTGGTTTTTTTTTTTTCCTTCTCAATTCATATCCACTAAACTCGTCTCATTTAAAAAAAAAAAAAATTGCCGCACAATGATTGTACAGTACAGAGATTCAACCTATGACATCATAAATACTACTCATCACATCAATATATTCTTATTGTCTCAGTGAAAATAAATTTTATGCAAGTGAAAACCGTAGTCCATTCAAACGGAAAACAAATTTGTTGAGGAATTTAACCTCGACATATATGAACCAAGTGACTTGTGTCTAATATTTAACCGTTACAGTATGGAAGAAAAATAAATGATATTGTGGTACAGATTGTTTTTTCTTTGTTTAAGCCAAGATTATGGTGCTGATTATGATTCATTGTCTTATTGTTCGTACGCAATATTGGGCCACCTGAGGGCCATTGGACTGTGGTCCTTCTACTAGTCCATCGGGACCATGAACTGCAGAGTGCTGGGCCATGTTGACCGATCCAACCATTGCGATCTAGGCCTAATAAGAGTCCATATTTTGATTTACCTAATATTTACATACATTTGACATCTCTTCATCAATGTTTATTTGTTGCATTGCTTATGATACTTAACTTATCCTTATATAGATAGAACACCGAAGACAAAGATTGTTCAGTCAGAACTCATGAACATTTATAATATGGTTTATCTCTATTAGCAAGAAATTCTTTTACATACGAGACTCGAACATAAGCCAATGTTTAAGAGAAATAATATATCAAACAGAGTAAATATAATTTGATCCTCTCTAAAAGTCAGTGAAATTAATCAAACTTTATCTTAAAAGAAAATGCCATACCACAAACGAAATTTGTGAAAAAAGAGAGAAAAAATGGATATACATTTTCTTTTTATAAACAACAAATATTTTCTATAAGACAATCTTGGTCAAAATGAGTATCATTATTATGACTGACAAAATTTTTTGTGCAAGTATTTATTGTAGTTGTATACCAATACTCCTGAGTAGAGATTTCGTGTATTTTTTAAAGGTTTAAAGATTTTCTTAACTTCATTTTTAAAAAGATAAAAAAATACTTTACTTTAATTTTTTTCATTTAATAAAGAGATATAAATCATTCTTATTGGATATAATTGTAAGGGTAAAAGGAAAAGTTAGCTTTATTTTAGTTGTACTTTTCATCTCCTTATATCAAATTAAATATAACATACTAAAATTTAAAATTTATTATTATTTTTTCTTTCCATTCAATTTAATGGTTAATGAAGTAGAGTTAAATGTGCATGTTGTGCACACGCTTTTTCATGTGTGAGAGAGAGGGAGAAAATCTCTTGATTCAATTTTAATCACTCACATGCATGTTAAGTGATGTTCGATTGCTATCTTCAGCAGTGCAAAGGGATGTGAATGAGTAAGAACAGTATTTGCAGGAAACACTTTAAATATATATATTTTTTCACAATGTATGTGCAAAATATCACCAATTTCATCGATATCTAATCTCTATTAAGAAGCACAACTGGGACGTCTTTAAGAGAGTCTCAACCACGACTAATTAAATATAATATCTTAGTTTAAAAAATTTAAGTCATCCTCCGATACTGACATGTTATTAATTAAATTCAGTTTGAACTAAAAGGGCCTAAACCAAAAAATTATGATAAATTATGTTAAATTCACGTATGTTATGCTTAAAGTATTTTTATCTTTTAAAAAATAATTGGATCAAATTTCAAAAGAAAATAATACTTTCGTCAAAGATTTTAAAAAGTAACATCTAAAAAGAATTCAAAAGGAATTATATCATAAACAATTTTTTTAGCATATTTAACTGCTGCAGTCTATCTGAAATCCAATAGATCCTAAATTTCATTGACTACATTATATATCATGTGGTTTCCACACGACCAAATGATTTTTTTATGGCCTACTACTAGTTTACTTGTGCTGAGGGTTCTAAGTGTGTACGTAATGCCTATAATTGCATAAACACCCCTTACTCCTTACTGGAATCACAAATTCACATCAGTTAAGAGGGGTGCATGTATACTTACTTACCAATTATATAATAGAAGAGTATTCAACCACAGATCCGTTCATAGCTCATTGACTCCACAACCTTCAAGGTCACGCCACCTGAGATAAACTAACCCTGCCCGATAGTGAACGTATGCCCCAGCCACCACCAATACATGAAACAATTGGTGACTGTGTCCGGCAATGTCAAATTTCCCAGGCATCCATCGTTCTGGAATCCTAGTGGCATAAACCAGTGCTCCAATTCCATAGAGTGCACCCATCAGAATCTCGTAGCCGGTTGTGTGAAACACTTCTGGCTGGCCCCAGAATAGAAAAAGCTTGTGCAGAATAGGTCCTGCACCAGACATTCCCATTCCAAAGAAGAGAGATGCTCGGATGGTGCGGAATTCTGGATTTTGGAACACTGGGAGTAGTGAAAAGCAGATGGTGGCGATACCCAATACAGTGATAAATCCCAAGTAAAGGTTGCAGAAAAATGGATAACACATAAAAGAGTAATATACTGGAGGATAGAAAGAGGTAGATATCAGAGCTGCAATTCCAGCGTAGTCGAGCCTGAGCATAATGTATGCCATGCGCTCAGAGTGACACGAGAGGAGATGGCAAATACTGCTAGCTAGCAAGCAAAACATGGCACCCCCTAAAAATGCAAAGAATGGCCACCTTGTAATTGGTCTAATCAAAAGTGGTGCAATTATGTTCGCCAGGTCCTCTTTTACGCTATGCTGCACACATAACCAACAAACAAATAAGCAATGTTGCATTGGCTCCCAAAACCTAGTCAGTCAATCATCAATTTAAACAGGAAGTTATTGAAATCTTGACATTAGGAAGTTATTGAAGAACTAGCCTCTTTAATCCATCATTCAGTGTTTCCTCAACCATATCATTTAAATTTGTACTCTGCCACATTAGCTAATAACCAGAGAACTAGTTTAACACCTCACTGTCTCTCCCCCAGCCACAAAGGAAAAAATAGGAATGAAACAAGTATTCAATTGTAAAATGATTACCAGAACACATACATCAGTATGATTGCTACCCGAAAATCTTCCAGGCAGACAATTATACAGATGTTCTTTAACATGCCAGCTTGAGATTTCCTCCCTGAGTCTGTGCAAATCAGGCATGGAAGGGAGGCACGTCAAGAGTTCTAATTGTAACTTTTGCAGGTCAGCCTTCTTGAGCATGTCAGGCAAATGCTGTAACGAATTAAGATCTACAACCGTTGGAATTTTGATGGCAGTGTATATGGTCAATGACAGAAATATGAAGAACCCAATCAAATGCCTTCAAGAGATAACATTTTGTCATTTTATGATTGAGAACAAGAAAATTAGGAACTACATAAAAGCATATTTCTTCAATCCAAATATTGGTTATGTCATTCTAGTGGTCTATATCCTTAAAAAAGAGACAATAAATGAGAAACAAAAATATATAGTCAAAATTTATAAGGCAATAGACATATTATCCAACTCCATTGAGAGACACGAGACAGACAAGAAAAACAAAACAGATATAAAAAAGGTAGAGGTAACTGAATATTATTCACTTATAAACAACCTTGTTCTACAACTTCTTTTTGAAGGTTCAACAGAATTTTTTGCATCATATACCCTCCTTAAATTGAAGAAGACCAAATAATTATTTGAATATAAAAGATACAAAATTGATATCGATGGTTTGTGAAATGTGAACAGTCAATCATGGTTTCTGATGCAAAAACTACCTTTCTGCAGCCTCACAAGGCAAGAATAGTGAGAGGCTGGGAGCCACCCACAAGCATTAGCATGCCCTCTTATAAAACCATCCAAATTGAACTACACTCACATACAGTAAAATCCCCTTTCCTCATTGATGACAAATACATAAAGGAAAGGGTCTTCTAACATACAAATACCCTGAATTCTGTAGTGACTATAACATCATTCTAGTGAAAGCTAATTATTCTCCGAAAGCATTTCTAGGAGAATAAAAATAAGAAGAAAATAAGATTCTTCATAAGGCATAAGTTAATATCAGAGAACTTTTATAAAATAGTTTATGGAGAAACTAATTTGACATTTTTTCCCCTAAAAGTGCTTCAGAAGAAATTTATTGAATCAAGCCCTTACAACCTACATGTGTAACTTTGTTCTTTTGGGGGGAAATGAAGCAGTGACATTGGTTATATCATAAAACAATGAATTATTAAATGATGTGGCGATATTATCCAGCAAGAGCAACAGAGAATGAGAAATGGTTGGAATTGAATAAAGTGGGAAGGGGAAAGAGT